ATGTTATTATAGGTTATAAAATGCTGTCTTTAAAATATTAAACATAACTTTATTTGGATTTGTAACATTAGGAAACATCCCCATTATGTATGTACTGAATGAACTCAGAAACTAGTTGGCCGATTTATAAAATTCTTTCACCATTAAAAAGCTATGTTATCACTGACTAACATAGGTAATTTATATTTTATTTTAAAACTTCACGTAGACGAAGTTGCGAGAATCAGCTAGTATATAATAATTTATCAATGAACTCGATACAAATTATTAAGTACTTAGTTGAGATTCATTGAACCAGATAGTCTTACTAATCTTTATTCAAATTTTCATTGGTCTTCTGGGTTTTTAACGATCTTTTGTTATTTTAAATGAGTATAAGTGTAAATTAAAATGGAAATCGTTGTAATGCAGGTGATAGCAGCTCGTGCACTAGCAGAAAGAGAAGCGAGAGAAGCCAGGGGAGAAGTAGAAGATGATGAAGATGAGACCTTACCTACGATAAGAGTAGGCCTAGTCGACGCAGATGGACACTACACAGATGTGGAACCTGATCTGTAAGTAAACAACTTCACTTTAAGATAAAAGGGAACAAAAGTATATCATGCGTTACTTTTAATGAAATTAAGAATCAAATAGTAGAAGATTAAGCAGTTTTAACAGTGGTAGAGCCCGCTTTAACATCTTCGCACGAATAGGCCGGCTCACCCGGTGTAATACCACGACCACACAGAAAACAGGCGTGAAGTGGAAGCAATTCCGCGTTTCGTCTGATGAGTGTGGTGCCGGAGGCCTAATTTTAGTCACTTTCCCTTTCCACCCTTTTCTTAAGAGGAAAGGAAGGGAAGGAAAAGTGGATTTGACGGTGGAGGAGACGCATAGGAAGGGGAAATGTCGTATGTGCGTCTCCTCCTCCGTCAATCAAGGGTTGGCAGCGTATCTGCAATTGCGGATGTCCATGGGCAGCGGTCGCTTTCCATTTCGGTGAATTCAGGTCGCTTGCTCGTTTGCCTTTAAAAAAAAAAGCAAATGATTTGATAGAATTAGTTTATAAATTGATGTAAATTGCAATAACTAGTAATTATGTGTTAACAAAATTCCTGCTCAAGGTTCTAGTATCGAAACGTATCAACGCACTGTTAAAATTTACTTCACCTAATGTCTAATTTCATTTTGTAGATTCCTGTCGTTATCGTGTAGTTAATTTAAGTCTCAAGTTAGAGCTAATGCCGACATTCTGTTCTCTACAATGTCTTAATTAAATTCTTGTCGGAGATTACATCACGTTAATTTTTCTTTGCTTTAAAACGTAATTGTGGTTACTCTAGTATAGGTTTTTATGCCCGATGCTTATTACTTAGAACTATAAATGAAATTATAATTACTAATGACTTCATGTTGCCTCATAAAAACAGACAAATCTGGACCATGTAAATGAAAATAATGAAAAAATTAAATCTGCTTATGGTAATGTTCTTTATCATCATCTACTTGCTCTTATCCCTTACGGAGGGTCGCCACAGTATGTATTGCTCTTCTATAAATACATTTCTATCAGCCGTCGTATCTGAATCCACTCCTTCCTTAAGCATATCCTCTTTCACACAATCCATCCATACTTTCTTCGGTCTTCCTCTACCTTTGTAGCCATCCACATTCAATTTTGATACTTTCTGATTTATGTCTCCATCGTCTAGTCGCATAACATATCCATAATATGCTAACCTTTTGCTTCTCAATTTCTCCATTACTGGCGCTACTTTAAAACATTGTATTTTCAAGAAGTTAATTTATTATTTAAAAACAAATATTAATTTTCTGCACAATAGACATGACTCGATCATCGTAGTAAGATTGATAATTGATATGGTTCAATATATCAAAGTCGAAGGTTCATAAACAAACAAACGCAAAAAAGCCAAGCGTCATTAAGATCGTTTGAAAATCAAATCGAAATTGAATACGAAACACTAAATCAATCAATGCCTGAATAAAAGAATTAATAAATTCTCAATACAAAGAGCCTAATCATTGGAGCCATCGTGTTAATGGACAAGTAACCGTGTGAATGCATCACGGATAATTGGCCAGTGATTGCGTAAGGGTCGATTGAAATGTTCGATACAAAAGGCTGGATCTATCTTTAGCATCCAGTTTTAACTGACCTCCTATCGACCTCTACATGTAGTTAGTCTTACAGGTTAAAGAATAATTCACTTGATGTAACAAAGGTCAATTTAAAGTAGTTGTCTCAATTATTATCTTGGTATAGTCGTCAGATTTGATGCTCCCAGTGCTAACCATGAGACCATAGACGTATTGTAATTATAGACAAGACGCCTGTCAAATTTAATGGTCCATACACTCTTCCTACATCCCATTTTAAACGTCAGTCGAATAGGAGTTAAGTGGCGTGTCGAAAGAGTAAAATATAAAACAGTCATTTTTATTAATGCACTTGTGATTTTGATACCATAATATTATTGGTGTACTACGGAATTGAATTTATTTGGATCACATTCTATATTTAAAAAAGTGCTTTCTAACGTAACAAGTATGTCGTTAAAGTTCACTTGATAGGTCTTCTTTAGATTTTCATTTCTCTGTAACCGAATTTCAGTTTCAGAATATATAATAATTATAAATCAAAAAGAAATAGTGTCGTCTTTGTGTAGAAAATTTGTGTAGTAAATCCGTCATAAATACCCTAAGTGTGATGTCAAATAGTTTCTTGTTAACATTGTTTCTGTTTACTACCAAATATTTAGTAACAAAGAACAATTTTGTATCTTAACTTTAACAATATAAGATTGAAATTCGAATACAGGTATCGATAATCCAAGGCACGGAATTCGTGACTGCGTAAGGCTCATCATTAGAACCAACACAATGACTGTAATTAACTTGCCCGCCTGTTTGTTCTACATTCAATTCGGGTACTTAGCCCTTCACCTATCACGTTTCCATTTGGGATTGCCAAACCATAGGAAATCGTAATGATTGTCGGACAGAAAGTGCGTGGTCGACTGACAGCGGACTTTAAAACATTTTAATTATATTTATTTATTTATTTTAATTTAATCATAAATAACATCTCTAATTACACTTTATTTCGGATAACAATTAGTCATTTACATTATTAACCTAAAGTATGTTTTTGATAAAATGAATTTTATTTTACAACAAATAACTGGTTATTAAATTCCAGTCTAATTAATTTCACAAAGTTGAAAGATAAATGTATTTTTATTAAGGCTATAAAATTAAAAGAATCAAAAATAAAATAAGAAATAAAAATCTCTCCAACTTCGTGTAAAACGCTTAAACTGTAACCACAACTTTATCTAATACACTAGCTTTCGCTCGCGACTTCGTCCGTGTGGAATTAAAAAAGTAAGCAGCCTATATTTTTTCTTCCAGACATCAGTTTATCCATCCATTTTTTTTAATTTTTGCTTTTATAATATTAATAAGAATACGCTTGGTATGTGATGACTCTATTAGGAAATCTATTGGACATGTTATTTAATTACATTCTGAGTGCTGTAATAAAGATTTGGTTAACAATTTATCTTGGTCAATACTGAATTATAGTTTTCCCGCCTTTATCTTGTGTAATTTATTCTTTATCAGTTTCAATTAAAACACTAATAAAATATTATCAGCCAGTTAATAACTAAGACAAGTTGAAAGCATGTTAGAATTTCGTACTTTATTTTTAAAGTAGATTTTGTCTTATTGATATTGTGTTCCGCTTATTATTCTTGGAGATACGCTCAAGACACCTTAAGCTCGCTCGCAGATCCTACATTAGATGAGGGGTTTACTACACGATATACTAAACTAAAATGTATTTTCTGTTAGTTTCCTTCGTTATTTTGTGTGGCAATTTAATATTAAAAGTAACCCTAGCGAGAAAACCCTATTGAGTATTGACAGATTCAAGATTTAGAAACAAAATAGTAACGTAGTATAGGCATTATTATGATTTAAAAAAAAACGCAAGAATAATACTAAAAATAGATTACGTGATAAGGGTAAGACGATCCAAATGTTGGTCTTTTAGTGTACATTCTATTGTACACAGTAGTATAACGACAATATCGTTAGAAGCTTTTGTAATAATTTATTCAAGGTTATACTTAAAATAGTTTTAAAGTTGGGATGTTCCAGGAAGGTTTTAATTCTGCATTGTTGCGTAACTTTAACTCGATTGTCGCAAACGATGACGCTTGGCTGAGAACTTTGAAACTTTATGGTAACTAGGATGAAACTTTTAGCAAGTTTTGCATAACTTTGAAAATATACTCAATGGCAAGAATTACTTTCATTCCAATTTGTGATACTTCTAAACTGGAAAACAATCTTACAAGGAAAGTTGAGGTACTAATAAGTTATTTTTTTATTTTCGCAGATTAACCGTACCCGGTCAAACAATGATACAGTTACCAAGTGATAAAGAAGACGAAGAAGATACGGGCACGAGGTTTAGACGAACTGGTTCGGAGAGACTTCGAGATGGAGCAAAAGCCTTGCTAAGGAGAGTTGAATCTCTAAAAACACGGCGAAGAAAGCGCCAGAACCGAACCGAAGTGATAGTATCTTCTCCCCACTTCTTAGATGTGCAACAAGATAGATATCCAGATCTTAGTTACATAGACATGACTCCTACGTCACCCACTCAATTCCCCTTTCCTGATTTCCATAGTTCACCTACTCATGCTACAGCAGTTAGAACTCAACCCCCGTCCCCTATGACTATTATGCCCCCATCCCCTATCGCACCTCTAGAACAATCTTTTGTCCTCCATCCTCCTTTCGGTGATGATAGTTCCAGTTATGCATCTGATGGAAGTATGGGTTCAAGCAACAAGAGTTCGAAATCTAAATTAGGAAGGGCGAAAAGAATTTTCCACAGAGGGTTAAGGAGTGATGACTCGAGCGCCCTGAGTGACTCAGAATGCCAGCCAGCTAGTTGGAGACACAATTACTATAAAGAGTTAAACGCTCATCATCAAAATACAGAGGTTAGTGATTGTTTATATTTTTCATGTGATATAAATCAGCCGATAATTAATAATTGAATGTTATTACAGGTTTACGTGGAGCCTCCATCACCAGTAGAGTTGAAGCCGGACCCGGCAGTTCTGCGCGAAGTACAACAGTCACCAGCGCATACGCCACACCGCCGACAGGCCATTAGGACAAGCTCGCTGAACCTGGGCAAGGAGGCACACAAGTATGTGGTGTCAATATAGAAAGAGGGCCGCGACCTTTGACTAAACTATCGAACGACTGTTATGCGATTGTCGATTGTTTTGCAGCTAATTCAATTGTTGTGTTGCACAACTAAAAATCGGGCAGTGTGCGCTCTTCCATATAGGCTTATTGGAATCTAAAGCGAAATGCGTAACTAAACAGTTGTGCGATAGTTTAGTCAAAGCTGTGCACGCGCTCTAATTGTAACAGAGCTAGTTAACTGAACTAAACCGTCAGAGTATGTTTAAATTGAACTTTAAAACGTTCTTTACCGTACAAATAGGTATTAAATTTATATGTATCTAAATATATTGTGATGTATAGTTACATATAGTATTGTGAAATATATAGTAGAATAGGTCCATAGAATGTGTGTCAACATGACCGACCTAAATGCAAGTTCGGTCGGACAGGATTAGCCGGCCAGCGTTATCATGTGAACCATGCGCTACCACAGCGCGATAAGCCTGTCGCTTACGGCCACTGACTTATTGCTTCGGACCTAAATTGAATAATTATCTACGCACTGATTAATATTTTGTACTTCGTCCTATTGTTTTACAGTTGGGACATAGTAGAATTCGTATTATTGAGCTGTAATTTTTCTACTTTTGACCTTTTTGTTAATTTTACACCAATATCCTCAATTGGAATTTTTGTGCTGGTGCACAAGAAAATATCAAACGACCATATTTTGGAAAGGACATTAAGTTTAGTAAAACATTTTCTATTGTTGGTGAATTTAATCCTAAGATCAATTCCATACAAGCAGTGGTCGAAATCAGAAGGCATCCTTGTATTTTTGTTAACACAATTGCGGAGAGTGAATAATGGTCACAGCGGCCAGTCTCCATTACACTAAATGAATATATTTCAAACATAATGGACTTACGGAGCGCGAGGAATAAGTAATATATGGTAATGACCCAGCTTCGACATTCTACTAATGTTGGTCGTTTGTTTAAGATTCTATTATACTGCGGTAGGTATACCGATTGAGGCTTCGTTTAATAGTTTTAAAGTGTTATGTGAAATATACGAAGTGATAACGCTGATGTTGATGTAGGTTAAAAACGAAAGTAAGGGATTATTAGTGTGGAGAATTATTGCACATGACAAGTGTATGTGAAAGAATATTGGAGAGGTATTTGCAGGTTTCGAGTAGGTTTAAAAGCGGCATAGTGAATTGAGAGTATTAATGTTAACGATTACCTTGCTTTAAAATTTATGAATCATTTACATTTGCCCTAGAAATATTTACACATTAAATTTCTTTATTTTTTAATTATAGACACAATTGTTTCAGATTCCGAGACAGGAGTCTCAAAAGAGATAAGTCGGCATCAAGGAGTTCCGAGCTAGACAGCAGCCCCAACTCCGCAGGCTCCAGATCACATGACGGTGATCAAGATGACGACGATGACAGTCTTGATCTGAAGACCAAAAAGTATTTTTTGTTTTTGTTAAAATTCGCTACGATTGAATTTTTTAGAAAACAAATTAAAATACCTTAAAAACGCGATTAGTAATTTTTAAATTAAGTTATACTTCAATATTATGACTGCAGCCATTAAACTCACAAATACAAAACAACTAAGGGATAGTCATTTTCAATTTTAAAATTTTCAATTCGTTCTACAGAAACAACATACAGAGGTGGTATTCCTTCAGAACAAGTACTATCAATGGAGGCCCTAAAGCAAACAATACTCTTCAACCAGCACCCAACCAGAAAGATCCAGAAACATACCGTGAGTAAATAAAATCAATTACATTTGTATAAATATTATAGAAGGACTAACTTGCTTAAACTGTATTGAATTTATTCAGTATCGCGACCTATGTCTTCACTCTCCTGCGGCCAGTTGCACATTCTGAGAAAGTTGGCACTCCTGCGTCTGACCGCGTGCATGGAGCGATACTGCCCGTCGCACAAATCTGGCTGGAACTGGGAACTTCCCAAGTTAATTAGGAAGATCAAGACGCCTGATTATAAAGGTAAATTTAACCTATTTCTCAAGTTTTAAAAATAATGGCTTTCATGGATTAATCTCGCTTAAGAAATTCACGTTAGAGTTTTAATTTACATTACCTCTTTGCAGATAAAACGGTGTTTGGAGTACCTCTAACAGTATCACTGCAGAGGACGGGTCATTCGTTGCCAAAGCCTATCCAATGCGCGCTCAATTGGCTCAAATCTAATGCGTTGGATCAGGTAAAATTATGTTTATTCTAACAATTTACTCTATAAAAAACAGTTAAACTTAGCAAGAAAGTGGTCAAAATTTGGATAAAGGCAAAGATAAAATGTGGCCTTGAAAGAATTGTTAAATGTCGTCTGAGTAACTACACAATGAACTTATAAGTTTCTGGTACATTATTTTTCTAGATGGGTATATTTCGCAAAGCAGGAGTAAAGTCGCGGATAGCGAAGCTGCGTGGAATGGTAGAAGCAGCGGGGGCAGCCAATGCTGCGTTTGCTAGTGAGAATATTAACGTTGAAAGGTAATTAAGTTAAGATAAATTAAATTACATAACATAGTAGCCACTTCCACATTATTTGGGAGGATCATGTAATATAGAAGTAATTAAAATTAATATAGTGTTGGTATTCTAGGTGTAGCCTGAATTTCGACGGTGCGCAGGCGCACGATGTCGCCGACGTGGTCAAGCAGTACTTTAGAGAGCTGCCCGACGCGCTGCTTACCAATAAACTCAGTGAGACATTCATTGCGATATTCCAACGTAAGTGCTATTATTTCGCTTTGGGCATAATCGACTGGTGTACGCTCATTATTGTGCATGAGATACTCCGTAAATTGTAACTCTAACGTAGACGTCGATGTCGGCGTCTCCCTCGTCGCCTTTACCTGTACATCTACCTCTAAGCGATCTACTTCTACTTTCACGTCTACCTCTACGTCCGCCTCTTCTCTTAACTCATCGCCTCCTTCAACGTTTTTATTACGTCATGCCACGACTACAAATTTTGTTATATCTTCATCCATTACTGTTTCAGATGTCCCGGAGCCTCTAAGGCCGGACGCTGTGCAGTGCGCGTTATTGTTGTTACCGGAAGAACATTTGGAAGCATTGCACTCTCTGCTAATATTCCTATCGGAGGTATTAATCATGGTATTCATCTTAAAAACTTTATTTATTTTGACCGTATTTTCATATATTATTTTTATTTCAAGGTGGCGGAACATTCAGCTGTGAATCAAATGACGGCATCAAACCTCGCAGTGTGCCTAGCGCCTACCTTACTAAGGCTGCACCACGCGCCACCCCACACCGGTAGTACTAAGGAAGGAAATTCAAACAGGTTGGAAATGTGAATCACTTAATTTTTAGACTTGACATTTACCGTAACCCCTTACTTCTCTCTGTGACTGAATATATGAGGTTAATGTTATCATGAGATTCCTTTTGCAGGATGATAATCGAGAGCGTGGCAGATCAGCGTCAGATCAGCGAGAGTCGAGCTGCCCACGCATGTCTACTGCTGCTAATCGCTCGCCACCATCAGCTATTCCTGGCACCCGCCGATATGCTCGCTCGCTGCAAATTCAACTACTTCGAGGAGAGCGTGCCGGTAATAAACAAAAAATAATGTTTAACTAACACCTACCAAAACAAAGACAAGAATAAAAAAATGAGAGGGTGTGATGGACTAAGTAGTTTTTTTTTTAGTATTCTACTTATCAGACTACTGAAGCTTTTATGCCGTTGTAGCTAGATGCTACAACGGCTGGGCTCTACCAAGTTTTGTTTTTCCAACAGTCGTCACCAAAATGTTATGACTAACTAAATATTTTTTAGGTCGCATTAGAAGAGCTTGGAGCTGATTTTAACCAAGATTGGAAAGGATTTCAACAAGCCTGTATAAAGGCATTGCTCAAAGAAGCCAAAGAAAAGTAAGTACTCTCATATTTTATTGTTGTAAAGGTAACTATTGACTTTTGTAGAATCTGCCTACGTACTTTGTAATCTAAAATTACAATAACAATGTAAACAAGAACGAATAGAGTGTTTCTATGAATGTTTCTTTTAACATCTATTTCACTTTGACTGAATTTCTTTGACTTCTAGAAAATCTAATTGTTTTCATGCTTTTTTAGAGTCTGTGGGCGATCGGCAAAGAGGTGAGATTTGGGTGTTAGAGCGATGTTTTCCCCTTGCATATTATCGGTGTTCTAAATCGTTTCTTTATTGAATGTCCAATGCTGCACTTTTTTACAAAGCATATTTGATATTTCTATTTATTCTGTTCGTTATTAAATTAAAAAGATTCGCTTGATTTTCAATAAAGAACTGATTATTACCTTAGAGAATGATTTGTTTTGGTAGACGTATTGTGCATTATATGTTTAAGTGTTTATAAAATATAAAACATTAATGTAATTTGTAAATAGCGTAAAAATAACCGAAGTTTATTTTGTCCGTGGACATTAAGTAAAAAGATTAAACAAAAGTAAATGATATTTATTCGATAAAAGAAATTAAGGTATAATCGAAGATAAATTGTAAATTAAACATTATTTTCCGTTCCTCTTTGTGCGTTCCTTTTTTCTTTAAAAAATTTGATGGGAAACAATTGTAATTTCAAATTCAATCTTATACTTCTGTTAATAGAGTATAAATTGTCAGGAGCAGGGGCTGGATGTCGGTGTCAGGAGCCGCGGGGCACGTGGAGCTGTGCTGCAAGAAGGTGGGCGACGGTCACCCCCTTCGGCTCTGGCGCGCGACCACCGACGTCGAAGCCCCACCGCAGGAGGTTATGCAGAGGTAAACCTTCTTTTCTTTCCTCTACTTATCATAAGATGAGCATCTTTCGTTCAAAATTTCCTGTTGGAGTCAATGACATTTGTATACAGAATCCTCCGCGAGCGGCATATATGGGACGACACTTTGGTCAAATGGAGAGTGGTTGAGAAATTGGGAACCAATGCTGAGGTGTTCCAATACATTACGGCTTCTAGCATCAATTTACCACCGAGAGACTATTGCGTATTAAGGTAAGCTTTCCTTCATCTTCTGTTCTGTTTGCTTATCAATTTAATTTGAAATGTTTTTTTAAACTCCTCACTCCCTTCCACCGTGAGGGATCGCTATCGATATACTAGTCGTAAGGTATACGACGTAGTATATAAAAATATATAAACAAGGTATATAAAAATATAATTTGTATTTGTATAATCTTATGAATTTTTCCTGTAATATATATCTTTAACGGTTGTTTAAGATATATATTACAGGAAAAATTCATGAGATTATACAAATACAAATTATATTTTTTTGACCCTGTTATGTGTTTGTGATTAGGTCGTGGCAGCAGGGCGGTGGTAGTGGCGGCGGCGGTTGGTGCGCGGTTGCGGAGACATCGGTGGCGCACGCGGGTGCTGTGCCGGGCGCGCCGGGCTCGCCTGGAGCCACGGGCACTGCAAGTGTTGCGGCTACGTCTAGTACGGCGGTCGGCGCTCGCGGTGTCGTACTCGCTTCACGCTACCTCGCCCAGCCCGCAGGAAAAGGCCGCAGTCGATTAGTGCATCTCGCACGAGTCGATACAATGTTAGTTATTTTAAATGTATATTCATAACCTTAGCATGGAATTTAAAAAGTATGACAACACTTATGGCCGGTTTCCTAACTACTTTTAACCGTTGAATGGTGCTTACAGTTAATGTGGTTCCGAACTATGTATCTTGAGTTTAATTCCGTTGAAACTTAGTTTAACCTAACATTAAGGAGTAACTGGGTAATCACGTAATGAATAAAAACATCAGAAACCCGGCATAAGTGAAGGGAAAGTCTCCTTCCAAGAATAGAATCAATTATTGTTAAAACGAGTTTGTACAAAAAAATTGTTACTATATTTTTTTTTTAAATAATAATAAAAATTCCAGGGGTCGCACACCCGAGTGGTACAACAAATGCTACGGGCATATCTGCGCGTTGTATCTGGCGAGAATCAGGGCCTCCTTCAAGCATAACACAGAAGGTCCGGAGTCGAACGTATGATCCAAACATTCCACTTAAGCTGTGTTCATATTGAACGCCGCTTAAGTACGACGGATAAACGTCAGTTTCATCTCGAATCGAGATATCGATTGTTAAATTTCGATGTTTGATTATCGCTAAAATGTTTCGTTGCAAATTATTGCATTTAATATTTTGGTCATAGTATAAGTTAGAACATTGACATTCAAAAAATTATCAATTACCGATAATTCCATTCTCTATGATGTAAATGTATATGAATGTTATGCAAGTTTAACATTCTTAAGACAAGACCAAATCATTATTTACAATTATTTGTAAATAAATTGAAATGTTTATTGATAACAAATGCATAATTCAGAAAATACTTATTAGATTATAAAATTCACTACCTACCTCTGTTATTAAAAGTTTATTATATCCTAATATTAAATCCCTAATGGGGTCTACCAAAAAACCTGACTGCTTTGTTGTAAAGTTAGTACGTTAGGTTAGTTTATATAAAAAATATTTAGGGCCTGTCACACCAAATTTTAGATAACAATCCAACGTGTAAAATGTGATGGAAATATCGGATTTTGTTTCCTTATCTGATTGACGTCATTTTTAAACTGAGTCTGAGTGGTGTGACAGGCCCTTAGACTCTTTCAAGGTGCACTGTTCATCACAATATATTATTTAAATATGTGATATCAATCTTTTAAATAGATTAAAAAAATGTAATCTCATTTTGGCGCAAACTTACCACAGATTATAAAGTTATCTTAACATATCACTAGTCATATTTGTATATGAATTTGTCCAATAAAGCACATAATAACCGTACCTGTCCTGTGTTCAGGAATATAAAAATAGTATTATAATCTAGACTTACATAGGTCAAGTTAAGACCTCGATTGAAAGTTTATCCAAAAATGTAAATTTACTAAAATGTTAGATTTTGAAATTGACTAAATTAATTTGGTCTACAAAACATTAACAATTTAAACTTTTTGGCAGAGTTTGTGAAATAAATTATTTACCTTTTATGCAATAGTTAGTTTTAAGACACTTTGTGGGTCGGAATTTGAAAATATTTGTAAAGGTCGTAAGTTAAGTTTTCGTTTTTGTAAAAAGTCTGATTTGTAAATATTTAGATTGTAATCATTAATTAAATATTGTTCAATTTTATTGTAGTTCTATTGAAGATTTGTATGAAGTATTCTTCGTACAATTTAATGATATAAAATCAAGTAAATTTTCAGGATAAATATTATTAACTTCAATCTGAAGCTAAAAAGTCTTAGAGTGCTTCATACAAATATTTTTTTAAATTAAAATTCCTCTTTGGAAAATCAATTTTAAGCCAAATATCACAAAAAAATATTATTATATTGGATTAATTGTAAATATAACAAAAATGATATTTTATGGAGAATTTGTAATCTCATATTTATGTGTTGGTAGTTACCTGAGATATCACAAATGTAAGAAACTTTGGTGCAGTATATATTTATTACTTTAATACTTCGATGATTTATAGATTAAAAGGGGGCTTAGAACTTTCTAAAATTAGTAAACTTTTTTATCATTTTTTTCTGATTTTTTTACGCCAAAATATTTGTTTTTTTTTTACTGTAATAAATGAATAAGTAGCCCCTTATCTGTCTGATCCGATCACCAGTCCACTTACTACCATATTTTGGGCCTAATAGTCTTTGGCTGTAATCAGAAAAAATCGAATACAAATCTAGTAAAAAAGTAAGTATATAGTATGAAATTTATTTACTATAATTTGTGGACCCAAGAGACATTATGGTTCCCAAAAGGGCAATTGCAATACTCAAATATTCAATGCATCAAATAGATATTAAAAATACGTTCTAATAACATTTATTATATTAATAATTTAAAATATATGAAGATACCTATTTAAGATTTTTAAATACATATATTACAAAATTAAAAAAATAGCCATTCCAATGTTGAATATTGTCTTGAAATTATATAAAAATACAAATAATGTTCAACATATCGTAATAATCAGTATTTTGAATCAATTTAAATAAATGTTTATAATTCAATGCACATTATATTTAAATGTACTGGTATTTATGCGTAGATTATAAAATGTTCACCGTTAATACTCCATAATGTCTGTTATATTGTTTAAAATAACTAAACTAATGCATTGTGATTTTATTCTCTATGATATGGACCATTATAAGTGATGAATCTTATATTTTCTTTCATTTAAATAATCCTCTTAACGCTTGGTATAAAATATTCTTTAAAACGTAATAAACAACGGTCTCCTCCTCCGTCGGATAAGGGTAGGCGACGCAGATGCGTCTGCCAACATTGCAAATGTCTATGGGCAGCGGTCGCTGCCATTTTGGCGGATTCAGGTGGCCGCTTGCTCGTTTGCCAATTATGTTATAAAAAAAAATGCAAGAGCGGGTGCACATTTAAGTCAATTGTCTATTGTTTCGCAGCACTCAATTGTTTAGTTGCACAACCAATATCGAGTAATGTGGGCACCTCCATATAAGATTATCGTCATCATCCTCCTTAGCATAATCCCGTAGGGTCGACACTACGGATTTTTGTCCTCCAAATAACTCTATCTACGTCATCTCAGTCATCACTCCTTTTTTGATCATGTCCACTTTCACGCAATCCATCTATCTTTCTAGGTCTACCCCTACCGGTGTACCCATCCACACTCATAACTAATGTTCTCCTTGTAACATGCGATTCATCCCTCTCCATAACATGCCCATACCATGCTAGGCAATTACTCCTTACCTTCTCTACTACTGAGGCTACTCTCTAACTTCCTCTAATATACTCATTATATAAGCCATTATCTTACCTCCATATAAGCTCATAGGAATCACAGCAAGACTAAACAGTTCTGCGATAGATTAGGCAAAGGTGTGCGCGTGCTCTAAATTTTGCTTTAGTTCGACAAAGTGGTGTGCGATATGTGTGGTGTGGTATTTAAATAAAACAATTTTGTAATTGTAAATTTTTTATACTTTGTAATTAAATTCAAATTAAGATATTTCATAAACCATTTACGCTATGTTATTAATTACACAATCATAGGCCTGTATTAACGACCTAAGTATAATCGAAAAAAACTCTTCATTTTCCAGTAAACTTTTAGAGTATTTTATATTTTTGGGAGCCTTCTAAAATCTGCTTTCCGAAGATTGTTGATAAAATTAGCATAATCACAAGAATAGATACGAATATTTCCTTAAACACGGCGGCTTGTCCTGGTTTAAGTACTTCGGGAACTCCAGATCGTATAGTCTGATTGACCCAGTGCAACAATTCCTCTTTAGGTGACATTGTCCGGTTGTGGAACGTACTTGACACCTTCCGAACGTTTTGACGATAGCTGTAAACATAACCATAGTTAGAGATGACACGAATATATTTGTAACCAAAATAATATAAGTAAAAAATGATAGTGACTTCTATCAAACCACTTTGGTCTTAGATTCTCGATAAATGTCCTTAAGTATAAATATGCACCAAGCTCTAGTTACTAGACTTTTACAATTACAATCTAAGGAGGAAGCAAAGAAAGGGGGTTATGGAGGGAGTTGCAAGTTGCATACCTTGGAACGCTTAACATTTCAACGATGGCATTCTTTATATTTCTCGCCAAATATTCAGAAATATCAACTTTTATTGAAATTCCTTTTATCACAGAACTTTCAACGTTAGCGAATTGGTCGCCGTAGACTGGAATTCCTATAGTCGGTACACCAAAGTGAACTGCTTCGATCTTAGAAATTACACCTCCGTGTGTTATAAACAGAATGCAGTTGGGATGAGCTGAAACAATATTTAGGAAGTTTCGATTTATTAAACCAAGTGTCCATTTCAAGACTTTTTTTTAAATCAATTTAGAATTAACCATAAAGGTTTTTTAAAGTTGTCTGAATAAACTATACTACTATATATAATTTTGAAAAACGAAACGTTGCACAATGTTACGTCTTATTTAGTTGTCTATGTCTGTTAGAGTTTGCAGTCTAAACCGCTGAACAGATCTCGATTAAAATTTGCATAGCATTTTTGATGTAGAGGATAGTCTGAAAGAATACATAGGCTACCTGCTTTTGTTTTTTTTGCGAACTGATTCGCAGTACAAAGCTAATAGAAACTAAATTTTACATTTACAATATTAACACTGTGAAACTAACCTAAAATACTTTGTTGCGGTGCCCAATTGACAACGTGAATATTACTCGGTAATCGTACAAAGGTGAGATCAAGGTTCCAAATAACTGTTTGCTTCAGTTCACCAAACATATCAATCAAGTCATCCATTTCTTCTTCTGGTATATCATTCCCATCCAAATATGATCCCAGACTAAAGTAGATAACGCCAAATTTCGCGTTATCCATAATAACTTTTAAATCCTATAAAACAAAAACAAGTTATCGTTAAAGAAATTTTTGGCATTATATCATCATTAAAAGCTGGTAATTTTGCAATAGTTGCAGCGCTCAACAAATTTTAGGTTACGGACAATATAAAAGAACTCGGGGTTAGGGCAGATGGCTATGAATACCTTCGCCTGCTATGGGCTCATCTACACTAATATAATAAAGAGTAAACACACACTACTTCAGGACGTAGGATGTCAGCAGTCAGATGCAGATGGCAGTCTGGAAGAACACATAGGCTACTCGCTTTTGTTTTGTTTGATGCCACAAGGAGGAAGTCGCGGGCGATAGGTAGTGCAAATATAAATATACAGACTACAAGTTATACGCAGGAATAGACATTTTAGTAGCATAAGTATTTTGTAATCACTTACATTAGGTAATGGTTTAATATCTTCATCGATGTGGTATCCAGCGACGGGTATGAATTTCTCCGGCCAAACCTGTGCTTTGCTCAATCCTTGATGTGAATTCATCAATACCAATGATGCGATGGACATCATATCTTCGTAGGATCGGAAAGCTTTACCCCTCTGTGCCATAAGTGGCCCGAATACTTTTTTGAACGCACCTCTTTCATAACTAAAGGATAAATCATCATTTTATATAGAAAACTAGAGACTCCGTGCAGATTAAAAAAAATATCTTTCGCATTCATAATATTAGTAAGATTTATGATATAATAGTTATTGTAATGCTTACATATCCTTGACTAAATTAGGCGTAGCTGAGTCCTTGTCAATGGTCCGCAGCAGCATCCAATGTGGCTCCGTTGTAAAAAACCAAATCAACGGGCAATCGTATAATGCTGCCAATCTGAAACATTTAGTCATATTTAAATTTTATCGTATAAATCGTGTAGAAAATCATATACAGATGTAATGGTAGTTTGAAATTACGGTTGCAGTCGGTTACTGCTTGTATTCGAAATTCTTTTGTTTAGCTTTATTACAAGGCTCCATTACAATAAAAAATTGCGCACACATCCTCAATTGTTAAGAATATTTAATTAATTAATTGGGAAGGAAAAGTGGATTTGACGGTGGAGGAGACGCATAGGAAGGGGAAATGTCCCCTTTATGTGCGTCTCCTCCTCCATCAATTAAGGGTAGGCAACGCATCTGCAATTGCGGATGTTTATGAGCAGCGGTCGCTTTCCATTTCGGTGGATTCAGGTGGCCGCTTGCTCGTTTGCCGCCTCATATTATATAAAAAAAAGAATATTTGTAAGAAATCCTTACCCAGTATACATGTCATTGAATAGCCATTCAGATATAATTAAATCGAAACGTTCTGTGGTGTCTGTTAGTAGTTTATTCGTCTCACTATGTTGCAAAACTTTGGTAAACATTTTCGTCACAAAATGTATGAAATGCCTATCGTTTTCAATACCATTAGGAGAGTTTATAGCACTTTTATAGTTTATTCTATTAGCTGTAATAAAATTTGCTTTAAAATTTTTGCAATTTATCAAAATATAATCAAAACGTACTTGTCGATTCTCGAGTCAGAAAATCACAAAAAGCTACTTACCCACTTTCGTGTTAGAACTCACGTCGATTTGTCGAAGGTTAGGATGAAGTTTTTTGCGTGGCGTTACCGTAATATGAGTTACCTTAAAATGTCGACAATTTTTTATTTAACTTCTAAAGTACGGAGTAAAGTAATTTACAAGAAAAATCTGTACTAATTACCTCATAACCTCCTTCTAATAGTACATTTACTAAAGCATGGTTTAATATATCATGACTTTTGATCGCAACAGGAGACAAAACTAAGATTTTTTCCGTCGTACACAATGACGCCATTAAAAAAAATAACAAACCCAATAACCACATTATTATAGTGATTTATGTAATCTCGTTATAATTCTAAATAAAAGAAAATTAATAAAACCCTATAAATAAATCAATTAAGAGGCTTGTAAAGAAATATAATACGTTCATCAAATATGAATAAGAAACTGGAGATATAAAAACAGAAGTCTACACAACTATGACAGATGTCAAAAAAATCGAATAATTTATTTAAAAAAAAATGTAATTAAACACTGGCTGGAAACAATGATTTCTTTAAATTCATTCTTTTCCGTTCTCGGCGTAGTACAGTTACAGAAAGCATTTACTCTTTATTGTACTTTTACAATTAGATAAGGTAATTTTTAATTTCCATTGAGAATTTGATGTAGAAATGATCTCATTATTTCTTTGCTTCTTGCTTTACATATCTGGCCATACATGTTACTTATTGGATTATACTCAATTTATAAAAAAACAGGAATATTTTTCGATCAGAAGCATTTTCAATAAAACAACAACGATTTTGTTAGTATAAAATGCAACTAACTCTTACAATTTTTATTAAATAAAAAATAAAGATGTTTAAAAATAAACGTTATAAAAATCATTAAAAAAAGGTATTGGTATAAAAATAGATATAAATTTTTGTAAAATCGACGGAACGTAAACGTTTCATATCGACGAGGGACGCCTGTACGAATTGCTTGATTTACCCAGTGCAATATTTCAACACTTGGTGGTACTGTACGGTTATAATAAATCGATGATAACTGCCTTACTTTCGTGCGGTAGCTAGAATATTATAATAGTACTTGTTACTATCAAAAATATGTTACAATTAATGCTAACACTAGCTGTTGCTCGCGACTTCACCCGCGTGAAATTAAAAAATAATAACCACATAGTTTATTTTACTTACCGATAATGTAGCATTTTAATGGTGAAAGAATTTTTCAAATCGACAGAGTACATTTTGAGTTATTTAAATAAATACAAAAATAAAAATCTTTTCTCTTTATGGTATTAGTATAGATGAACGGTCTCGGTTATGTCTTTGGTAGACTAGTATTTAAAACTGGATTTCTCCCGCGACTTCATCCGCGTCATTAAAAAAAAAGTGAATAGCCTATGTGTTCTTTCAGACTATCCTCTGCATGCATGCCAAATTTCACCGAGATCCGTTCAGCCGTATAGGCTACAAACTCTAACTTACCTCCATCTAACTAAACTTTCGCATTTATAATATTTGTAAGATTTGGAATATACCTTGGATTATGTAGCATTTCGTCGATCGTAACTTTTATTGATTTTACAGTCATTTCGCTAGACATATCCACTTGCTTTCCATATCCTTCCTTAACAGCTCTTTCGATATTTGTAAACTGGTCAGCAAAGATTGGTATTCCAATTATTGGAACGCTATAGTATATTGCCTCAGTCAAAGAAAGTATACCTCCTTGAGTAATAAAAAGAACGCAGTTTGGATGTGCTGAAACAATGGAACGTCAACGAACCATTTTATATATCTAAATAAATTAAAAATGTTGTTAACTCACCTAAAATACTTTGTTGTGGTGCCCATTTCATAATATGAATATTATTAGGTAATTCTGGATATTCCGTTTCATATTTCCAAAGGACAGTTTGTTTTAATTTTTGTAACATGTGAATGAATTCTTGTTTAAATTCGTCTGGAAGATCTATACTTTTCAAATGTGACCCTAAACTGAAATATATGACTCCGTGCTTTGCGTTATCCATTATGCTTTTTAAATCCTAAAAGAAATCGAAATCGTTTAGTGTAGTTTTCATTGTATCACCTCAATATCAGCCTTAGATCGTCTACTGCAGAATTGAGGTCACCTCATTGATAGTACTCGTATATTCGTTTTGTTGTAAATTTCTCTTGATAATTCAAAATCAATATATAAACAATTCTTTTGTTTACTTCTTTGATACTTATGTATATCAATAAAATTACAGAGTATGAAAAATTGAATTGAAATTGTACCTTCGGTAACGGTTTAATCTCTTGATTAATATGGTAGCCTGCAACTGGTTTAAAGTTATCCGGCCATCTGGTAGCATCGCCGAAGAGAACACGAGAGTAGACCAACACCAAAGAAGAATAGTGCATCGACTCGACGTATGGACGGAGTGTTTTACCCCTTAAAGCCATTAATGGCTCGAATATTTTGTTAAAAGATTCTTTATCCAGACTTCGTAGATACCTTCAGTGAAAAATTGTTAAAACCTATTAAATATGTGTTACAGTTATACGTAGTTGACTCTTAGATTAACTTTCAAGTAGTTCAGTATTCGTTTTCAACTAATTAAAACAGTAATTCAACTTACGCTTCTTTAGTCAATGTAGCTGTTTCAAATGACTCAATACTTTTTGATGTACTTCCCATTTTATATGTGTTGGTAGATTCTTCAATCATCTGAAGCATAGACCAATGACATTCTGATGCAGAAAACCAAATCAACGGACAGTCATAAAGCGCTGCTACTCTGAAAATAACAACTTTGAAGTTAACAGTACTTGTTCAGAATTGAAAGACTTTATTATCTTCTTCTTCTTTTGGTGATGTCTCCTAACGAAGATTGGCAATCATTACAGCGACTTGAAGTTTGGACACAGCAGCTCTAAATATAGAACGCGTACTTTTATTGTAACACTGGCGAAGATTTTTAAGCCACGATGTTCTTCTCCTTCCTGGACTTCTTTTCCCTAAAATCTTAGAATCCTACCTTAGATTTTATTATCTTACCCAATACAAATATCGTTGAACATCCACTCGGCTATGATCAAGTCAAATCTTTTGGTAGTATCTCTAAAGAGATTGTCAACATCTTTATGTTGAAGTGTTGCTGTAAATATTTTTGACGAAACTTGTGAGTAAAACTCCAATTCGTTACCTGTTGGAATACCATCAATACATTTTTATTCATATTAGAATGAATTCGTATTAAAATAAAAGATTTTTGAATCTTACCTCTAATATATTTTTCGTTCCAGCTGGCGTCGATTACATGAAGATTCGGATGCGAATAATTGAATGGGAACATAGCAATGTGGGTGATCTGAAAGTAAATATAAGTTCATCTTCCAAGTAACCTTATAAGCTTACTTACTGCGTTGGCGCAGCGACCCAATGTGGGTCTTTGCCTACTTGACCTTGGAGTAGAGCCATAAGCTATCATGGATTTATTTTTGTGGAAGAATTCAGATGAGAACTCACCTTTCAAATAGAGTTATATTCGTTCGTACATTCTATTACAAATTCAAAACGTTTAGTGCTTACCTCATGACCTGCTTCTAGGAGTAACTTGACTAGTGCATGGCTTAAAATAGCGTGACTTTTTATAGGTAGATGTGTGATCACTAAAATTTTATGCACATCACAATATGGGATAATACTATACAGTATTACGATGATTAAAAATCGAATGATATTCATTTTATGAAATTTAGATATTTGTCTTCATAAGCCTTGATATAAAAAAGGTAATTCTTGTTTCTAACAAATAAATTTCAATTCATTTAGTTAAATGATTTTATGTAAAGACATGAGTAAAACATTTAAGAAAACCAAGTATGTTTGTATGTAGAAAGTCCAAATAATAAAATATAACCTTACAATGCTGACATTTTATAATTGTCACTTTTTGTTGACTGCGTCAATCGATATAAAGTAATTGTATAGGCAAAGGCAAATAAGTGTCTATGAAATTAATTTGTAAATTACGTGTAAAGTAGTAGAAGCTTTTCCTTTTGTAGAAATAAACAAATCAAATCAAAATAATTGAAAAGATGATAACAATAAAAACATCATAAAAACTTTATTCATAAAAAAATAAAAATGTAAACGATATCATAAAAAATATACAAAAGTTGTAAACATTACAAAAGTAATAAAAAAGTAAAAGACATAAAAAAAAAAACTCGACGAGAACAATACTAGGTTAAGCATTCAAATCCTTGGACTTTCTGAATATAGAATTTTTGATCACAAATCGAAGTGATATTAGCAAGACCATTCCCCATAATCCTATATTTATAAATAACCTTCTTGAAGATATAGTTTCAGCAGCTGTATGATATTTAGTAACTCCAGCACGAATCACTTTCTTCACAAATCGTACTAACTCTGTATCAGGTGATGACTGATTGTGATATTTTCTTGATAATTCTTTTGCTTTATTGCGAAACCTATTAATAAAAAAATCAAATGAAAACAACTATTCTACAAATTATGTAGATGATTATGAGTCAAAGGAAGCCCAAACATCAATCCATCCCACTAGAAGACTTCTAAAACCAAGAGTTAATGATGTAATGAGCACGAGCATAAAATTATTTAAATATCTTTTTTTGTATTTATGGGATGGATTCAATATGGAAATCTTATACTGCTTTTTCTATCTCTTTGGTTTATGTTAGTATTTAGATTTGAAAGAGGATATGCTTAAGAAAGAAGTGAATTCAGATATGACGGCTGATAGACGTATGGAAGAGCAGCACATACTGTGCCGACTCTTCGTAAGGGATAAGGGCAAGTGGATGTCTGGATGTTAGTCTTTAGATTTTCTCATACCTCGGATTCCTGATCATTTCCTCAATAGTTTCCTTTATATCTTCCTCAGTTGAATACGATAGATCTACTTGTTTAGCATATCCTTGATCAACAGCTCTTAGAATGTTTGTAAATTGATCTGCGATTATCGGTATTCCAAGTACTGCTACTCCGAAATGTAACGCCTCAATTGACGAAAGTGCACCACCTTGCGTCATAAATAGAATGCAGTTTGGATGAGCTGAAATTGATTGTAATTTATTTGTAATGATATCGTCTGCTTGTTGTCCAGTTTTTAACTACGTATTTCAGTTACCAGAACTTTAACAAGTGAAACTCGTAACATATTAGTGAGATCAGCAAAAATAGGAACACTCACCTAAAATACTCTGTTGTGGTGCCCATCTCAAAATGTGAACATTACTCGGTAACTGAGAAAACTTTATATCATGCTTCCAAAGTACAACTTGTCTTAAATTACTGAACACTTCCATCAGTATTTCGTTGTATCTATCTAATACATATTGGCTATTCAAATTTGATCCCATACTGAAGTAAATCACACCGTGCTTAGCATTGCCCATTATGCTTTTCAAATCCTGTAATATAACATGTAAAATATCGTCAAACTCTTTCTCTACGTAACGTTCGTTGCTCGCAATATCTTCCGTGTGAAATAAAAAAATAATAAAAAAGCATAGCATATGTTACTTACTGATAACGTACCTTTGTAATGGCAATAGAATTTTTTAAATAGGCCCAGTAGTTTTTGAGTTAATTCAATACAAACAAAAATACAAATCTTTCCTCTTTATAATATTAGTAAAGATTCGTGGGCGATAGTAGCTTTGATCATAAATATCATTTTATTACTTCTTTGAATTGTTACTTATTAATATTCTATTAAAATACCTTTGGTAAAGCTTCTACTTCACGATCAACATGATATCCAGCGATAGGTTTAAATTTTCGAGGCCACTTCTTCGCCTCGTCTGGTAAGAGATTTAGATAAACTAATATGTGTCCACCAAAATATTTTGACTCTTCAAACCTTAGTAAACTTTTACCTCTTAAGTCCATTAATGGACCAAAAATATTTTCATATGCTTCTTTTTCCAAGTTGTATAAATACCTTTAAAATAACATCAACGTTAAAGAACTATAAAACTACTTAAGTGTGGTAGCCACCCCACCACCCACCAGTTTCTACTACCGGTAGAAGTAGACCTAGAAAGAGATGGATGAATTGCGTGAAGGGTGACATGGTCAGGAAGGAACTAAAGACTGATCATCGAAATAGCGTTAAGAATCCAATAAGAGTTATTTGAAGGATGATAAGATAGGGGAGACGAATTAAGAACTAAAAGTATGTTAAGATTAACGGTGATTATGAACAACATGTAGATTCAAGACTGCACAAAAAGTACGAAAATAAAGTAACAGTGTCTATTTTTTAATTTTCTCTTCATGTGCACTTACATATCTTGGATAATATAGCTAGTTATAAATGGGGGGATGTCTTTATTGTTTGCATCTTGTACATTAATTGTATCTTCAAGTAAACGGAGCATCATCCAATGAGATTCTGTCGCGGAGAACCAAAGCAAGGGACAGTCGTATAGCGCTGATAATCTGTAAAATAATGTCTGGATTATTATTATTTCGTATAATATTAACAGAACTATCTAAGACATTTGAGATCTTTCATTTAATCCAAAGAGATTCAAAAAAGTATAGAGGAGGCATAGTTAACACTTTACTTGAAACATTTTTCACATCTCTGTAACGCTATCTATTGATACATCCTCAAAACTACATGGCAATATAATAAATTTTATTTAAATCAGTTGCTAATCTCCTTCTTTTTCTTTGTTTCTTCATTGCTGAAGGTCGTGCTTGGACGGTAAGCCTTTGCTAATAGTTGCTAATAGGTGTCATTAAATAGTATTCAAATGTTTACATTGTATTTTTGTATCACTGTTTAGTTCATATTAAAACAAAAAATGGAGCTTATTATAATTTTGCAAAATGTTTCATTACATGTCAATACAAGCACACGAGATGGCGTCCTAAACTTGACTAATAAATTTCCTTTTAAAAAAGTAAAGGTGAAAAAAAATGATTCGTATGCCTCGTCTATGTTTTATTTAAATGTCTGCTATTATTATCACCAGCTCACTATACGTCCTCACTGAGGGGCTCGAAGCCTACCCAAGTTAGGGTGACTTCACACATATCTTTGAATATCTTAGCAGACAGACTGCAGATGTTTTCGTTCATCGTACGAATGTCGGATAAAATACGTGCATATGAAATTCGAAAAATCAAAAACTATATTGGTACACGGCGGGATTCGAACCCAGGATCTGTAGATTACAAGTCAAGTGCTTAAACCACTGAGCCATCGACGCTCCACACGGTAACATGTTCGAATTATTTGCATGGTTCCTTTTGGCACGCACCGCCATACACTTTAGTTCTTACCCTGCGTATAAATCGTTAAACATCCATTCAGCTATGACTACATCAAATCTTTGCTTCGTATCCCTTAATAACATATTTACATTATTTTGACGAAGTGATGAAATAAACAGCTCCCGTATAATACGGCCATAGGCTTGAGAATTATCTACATCTGAAATTTTAATATAAGTTAAAAGGCTTAGATATCAATTTCTATCAAAGGTTCTATCAAGAATAATTGAGTGACTTGCAAGAACGTATTCGTAACGTCATCGACTTTGTCGATATTTGTTAGTGTACTTTATACCCGGTAGGGGTGCTGAGGTGATGAGGTTACGAAAACTTTCTTAATGACCCCTTACTACATGTAGGTTAACATTTCATGTTCGTACAATATGGTTACTTAACTTTTGATTTTATTCAAATGTTACTGGTATTATATTTACTTGCTTACTTGTAATGAATTTTAAAACCAATAACTACGTACTTGGTAAACTTTCAAGGTAATAATCGACTTCTAAACGACGTAGGTTCGGGTGAGATATGTTGTAAGGAATTCCAGTTATGTGCGTTATCTAGAAACAAAATGTAATTGCCTCTAACGTATCATATGTTAGTAAAGAATAACCTTATAGAAATACGTTTATTTACTGTCTTAAAGCTAAAAATCTGTACCAACGCTTTAAGTATTATTTACAACAAACAGTAATTCAATGTACATCAATTATTTTTCTCTTACAATTGGGCTGGTTTACTCTTATTTTGGTATAAATATCTTGACAAAGAAGGAACAGAAACGTAACATCTCATTGTTTATGTTTTGAGTGACATGTTTTTTTTACACATACCTTATGTCTCGCATTTAGCAGTAATTTAACAAAAGCATTACCTAAAATAGAGTGACTAATAACAGGCAATGGTGTGACAACTAAAATATTATAAGAATCGCTGTAATGGTATAACACAACGAAGATAAAAATTTTCGATATATTTAGAATCTTAGCCATGGTTGTAATTAAATGGCCACTAATACACACAAGATTTTGTTTTAAATACCATTTTACTTTCAACTTAGGTGATGAAAAATTATGTATAAATTTAAATACAATAAAAGATGTGTATAAAATACTAGAAAAATAATAAGATTGTCAAATATTGACACACTTCATTTTAAAGTTGCCATAATAATAACAAATTTAAAAATAATTCATGCCGCTTCTTTCAATAACAAAAAGTTTTTCTTGTATTGTCACATAATGGATCGGAAAAGACGAATTGAGTACCTCCTTCTTTGGGGAAGTCAGTCAAAAATGAAAAGTTAACGTTGGAATAAATGTATGTTAACAATGTAAATGTCCATCCATTCAATTAATTAACTTTTTGTTTTGATGCAGCACATTTTATGGACATTAGTAGTATTCCACGGAATATTTTAAATACAATCTTAACAGATAAGTAAAATATTAAAAACATAACAATTGCTAAGTCTAAATACAACTTCTGGTACCAGGGTAGCATATTCGCTTGGGAGCGTAGATGAAGAGCGCCTTTTGTTCTTATAACATGTGACACCCAATGAGTCAATTCCTTTCCGGGTGATGTCGCTCGATCGTGGTAGACAAATGAATACTCTTTCACTTTTTGGGTGTATCTGGAATTATATCCAAATATCCAAATTAATAACTTAAAAGTTACACTTTCCACCTTTAGTACTAAAACACAGTTAAAATAGCTTTTTCTTTTGTGTTTTTGCTGGTTATGCTCTACATCATTGCGAAATTTCATCGAAATCCGTTCAGCAGTTCTAACAAACATCTATCCACCTAAACTTTAAAATTCATAATATTAGTATGAAGTAAAATTATTATAAATGTTGGGTAATATTTAAGCTAATTTTTGTTTACCTTGGATTGTCTAAAATTTCTTTGATAGCTATTTCCATGTTAACAACAACATCGTCGTTCAAATCAACTCTCATTCCAAAGCCTTTCTCTACAACACGATTGATGTTCATATGTTGATCTCCGAACATGGGTACGCCGATAATTGGAACTCCAAAATGCAAGGTTTCCAGTATGGAAAGCAAACCTCCATGCGTGATGAATAATTTGCAGTTAGGATGAGCTGTAAAAAAGCGAAAACATTTAATTCTTAGAACCCGCACACACCCTTGAGTAAACTATCGCACACCTGTAGTTGTGCAACTAAACAGTTGAATTGGCTGCGAAACAATCGACAATCGCAACAATTGTGCGATAGTTCAAACTAACGTGTGCGTTTGCTCTTAGACCATTGCAACCTTTTCATAACTCACGGCATATTTCTTAATGTAGATAGTTTATTTTGTAGTTATTCTTTCTTAAATTGCAAGTAAAGGAATCGTTCTTTTGACATATTTTGTTTGCTATTTTGCTTACCCAAAATACTCCATTGTGGTGCCCATGACACTATGTGCACATTCTTAGGCCGATCTAATAAATCCTCTTCGAATTTCCAAATAACAGTTTGCTTTAATTTGCTAAATACATCCAATAGACCTTTCTTTATTATATCAGGTATTCTGCTACTTTTTAACATCGATCCCATGCTGAAGTAAATGAATCCGTTTCGAGCATTGTCGGCAACTTGCTGTAAATTCTGTAATTCAAAAAAGAATAAAATCTTACTAATTAGTTAAGAGAATCAGACTGTACATATGCATGTTAACTATTTGACTAGGAGATATGTAGTTTAATTATGTGACTTAATATTAATTCATCCCACGAACATCCGCAATGCCAAGGCGCTGCCGGCCTTTAAGGGAGGAGTACGCTCTTTTCTTGTACTTACCGATGGCAAAGGATCAATATTATCTGTAATATGATATCCTCCAATTGGTATATAGTTCGGAGGTAGACTTATAGAAGTACCTGCAGATAAATGTGAGTTTCCCAACATGAGTGATCCATTATATCTCACTTCGTTGAATGGTGGTAAGTCTCTACCTCTCAAAGCAACAGACGATGCGAATGCGTTGTTATAAATACGATTTTCTCTATGTCTAAGTCTCCTGAAAGTAATTTTAATATTAGTAGCAGTAAAATATATATTCTAACATACCATTGCCTAATTGTGATGATTCGTCTACTTATATTTGGACCAGGTTGAATATCAACTGCGAATATTCTAGTCGTACGTATAAAGTGAACTGAACAATTGATATGATTGTACAATTTTATTAAAGTTTATAATATACCTAGTCAGAAGAATATTCATTGTCGAAGCCAGCACACACAATTTGCCTATATTCTACATTTATAAAGTTATCTTTAAAGGTTTCTAATTTTGATAACCTCACAAAGTAACAAAAAATTCTTACCATTTAAAATATTTTGTGTGTATCACGTGCCATAGTTCTTGCGCCCTGTTCCAGAAGTCTAATGGTGTAACTACATCAGCGAGATGCTGAGGGTTGTACGCTGGGTTGGGTACTTCATCAATGAGGTCCAATACAAGCCAATGAGGGTCCAAGGAAGATGACCATATAAGAGGACATTCGAATACCGAAGCGAATCTGTAAACGGATTTAAAAGAGATAACATCGGATTTATGGCAGATCAAAAAATATTACGCACATATTGTTTATTAAATTGTTAAGTCGGTTGATGGATATGATAGGAAGGGGACATAAACCATAAAGTATTATGAATGAATGTGTGGCTAAAAATACAGAAGAAGAGCGGAGAAAGTAAGGATGGATTGTGTGAAATAGAATATGCTTTAGGAGGGAGTGGATTCAGATATGACGGCTGATAGAAATGTATGCACGAGCATCACATACTGTGCTGAAAGTCTTTAGGGACAAGGACAAGTTGATGATGATGTTAGATGGATATGAATAAACAAAAAAACGGACATTTGAGTTTTAACAAACTTGATACTTACCCAGCATAAAGTTCACTATATAGCCATTCAACGATAACTGCATCAAATTGTTCACTAGTGTCGTTGATCAAGCGTTGAACATTCGGATGTCCGAGTGTACCGTTAACAAATTCAGTTGTCACAAATAGCATAAATTCTATATTCTTAACATTCCATGTGTTCATTAAAATATTTTTAGTATCGAACAATTCATCTGAAATAAAAATTACTATTATTTTACTGTCGAAATATGTATTGAAATGTATTTCTTAATTAATCTCTTTTAGACTTTCTTTAACTATACTTTCTAAAATATCTTTAACAGATGCTTCTAGCAATCTCATTATAAGTTTGCCCTTATCCCTACAGAGGGTTGTTACAGTATGTGCTGCTCTTCCATACATGTCTATCAGCCGTCATATCGGAATTTACTCTAGGAATGGAATCCTTAACTATAACGTATTAAACGGCACAGAAGAAAAAAAGGACATACTGATCAATGTGAGTGAACACAAAGTAAACAATTTTTTTTTAAATTAAGTAAAAAAATTCTTACCTGGTGGCATTAGTTTGAAGTCAGATGATATATCAATTTGTCTTAACCTTGGATGCTCCATTTTCATCATTATTGGCGTTATATAAGTCACCTGGAAATAAAACATTTATTAAAGTCTTTCCCCTACTAAATTTAAATTTAACAATATCTTATCGAATTTAAATTTTCATTAAAAATACCTCATGTCCATCATTCAGTAGATGTCTTACGTAACCTTCTCCAAGAATTGCATGACTTCTTCCCGGTACTGGAAATACCAGGAGTATTTTGTACGCTGAACATAATTCATTTATTATTAAAAATGTACTAAAACTTGCAAGACGCATTGTCTAACACTTCACAAAGACGAATGTTATAGTAAAACTCATTTATATCTCAGTTTAAATTGATTTAACAATCTATTAAGATGTCGATAAGGTGATTTGTTAATTATAAAGTAATTGAGTTACAGCAATAACTAAATCTTTGTCTACCCATTAAGTGATAATTTTTTTTAGACATGACATTTATTTTCATACATAATACACTTGTTAAAATTATAAACACATGAAGTGTTGTTATTTGTTACTCTGGAAGTACTTCTAATATCAATAACATACTGAGATTGCCAAAAAACCTTAAAAATTACTACAATTACACGTTATTCCTGTTAAAAACAGGTTATTCGATTTGTAATCGTATAAAATAAACAGTTATTTGCTATTCGTGTGAATTGGGAATAAATAAACATACATTTGTTAGTTTAGATTCATCTCAGAGATGTAAACACGTATCGCGTCAAGTTGTTTAAATATTATGTAAATTGTCGTATTGAAGTTTTAAGGTTAAGATTGATTTCAATATTTAGTGCTTTTTGCTATCGGGATGTCGTTTATTAAAGTATTCATAATAATAGCGGTAATAACAAGTTGTTTTGCGTATAATATCTTGTTAGTTTCACCTTTACCAAGCGGCAGTCATGGAATATTGGGCGATGCATTTATCAGAATCTTCACGAATGCCGGCCATAAGGTAATGTATAAATGTTTGTTTACGAAGTCGTTACTTGTTTTTTTATCCAGCCTCAGACAGTTTATAATTCAAGGGCAGTTTGGCAAACTACAAAAACGTCGCAACATACATATAACGAATGCGAAAAGCGACTTTTTTGTTTTTTTTTGTTGAATAACCTAGCACTTGACCACGAAATGAAATTATAGTCATATGTTTTTTTTATCGAAAATTCGTTTTCCAATTTATTCCTCAATGATCCATAAACCAATCTATGTATGTAAGACATATATCTTACACTAGTTATTGCTCACAACTTCGTCCGCATGAATTAAAAAATACATCATATGATACTAATAACGTAGATTTGTAATGGTGTAATGAAATCGATTCAGTTTTTGAGTTATTCCTATTTGTAAAACTAGTATAGATGTATATTATTTTGACGATTATTTAGATGCGAATAATATAAGTACCGTTACAATATTTTAATTTTATTTAATTATTCAAACGGTGCACTAGATGTCTCTGTACTATTCAAATGACATTGGAAAGGACAATGTGTCTGCGAGATCTTATCAGTAATGATAAAGCAAACAATATGGCCTTTATGGTCATGGCCTTTATGCTTCTGAAATCAAGATATAACAAGGCATATCCACTACAATCACGTTAAAATGTTTAAATTCCTTACAGGTTACCTTTATTTCTTCGATGACAAAACTAACATCATCTCCAAATGTTACAGTAATCAATGTAGCTGCTAACATAAAAACATTTCCAGGTAAGTTTTTACAAAATTCAAGTTACTAGATTATTCTATATTGCCAAGCATGTATGGATGTTTGTTAGAGTTTGTAGCCTAAACGGCTGAAGGGATTTTGATGAAAATTAGAACAGATGTAGAGGATAGTCTGGAAGAACACATAGGCTACTTGCTTTTGTTTTTTTTAATTCCGCGCGGACGGAGTCGCGGGTGAAAGCTAGTGATAAATTTAAATGGAAACTTCAGCAACTCAGCATTAGACTTCTAAGCTATAATATCGTGTTTCATCTATTTTTACAGATGATTTATTAAACATAAAAGCAATAATGGATCAACAATCGGATATGCGTGATGACGATTTATTCTTCCCCGTCATGGACAATCTCAGTTTGGTAACAATGCAAATGAAGGAAGTACAGGAATTATTGAACGATGAGACGCAGAGTTTTGACGTAGTCATTGCGGAATGGATGTATAATGAAATATATGCTGGGTAAGCGTGTATATACAAAAATATATATTTGTCTCATTTTTTTAAAGGAGAACAAGAGGGATAGAATTTATTTCTTGTATCAGTGTTTTACTGTTATTCACTAATGTTTACCATTATTTGATCTTCTTTTTTGTCATCACAATTCCATCGAATAGTGTAAGAACTCATGTACAAATAAGCAATGATTTTTGTTTAATGATTTATGAAAACTAATCTTAACATTTTTGCTTGTTTCAGATTGTCAACATTGTACAATTGTCCCTTAATTTGGTTTTCATCTCTTGAACCCCACTGGTTATTTTTGAGGGTAATTGATGAAGCTCCGAATCCCGCTTATAATTCTGACAGTATGTCAGCTAATGTAATTCCTTATACATTCTCACAACGTGTTGAAGAATTGTGGCTACAGATATCTAGAAGCTTCTATCGAGAAATGTAAGATTCATTTGTTTTCTCTTGTTGAAAATATGACAAAAATCAAAACATGTCTCAAAGACTCAAATTAAAAACTAAGACATTGTTTTGAGTACATTTTAGCCTGAACATGTGCCAACTCTTTTGCGTAACTCTAAAATGCAAAAGTTTAGATGGATGAATGAATGTTTGTTTAAATTTGTAGCCTAAATTTCTGAACGGATCTCGATGAAATTTGGCATGGATGTTGGACATATTCTAGAACAACAGATATGTTCTTTGACATAGGCTACTTACTTTTGGATTTTCAATTCCGCAAAGATGGAGTCACAGGAGAAAGATAATAAATACTACAGTAATTATTTTAAATACAATATAGGCAATCATATAATTTTACTGTATCGCTTTATGTTCCCAAGTAATACAAATAATCATTCAAAACAACTGCGTTATGAAATGTTATCGTAACTATATAGGTTAAACGCATATAAAATATCATTATTATTGTCCGTTAGTATTCTCCCACTCGAGGAGGATTGAAAAAAAAAACAAAAGTAAGTAGGCTGTATGATCTTCTAGACTATTCTCTACATCTATGCCAAATATCAGAGATTGGTTCAACAAATAAGGCTACAAACTCTAACATCTAAACTATTGCGTTTGTAATATTAGTAAGATTTGTGTTTGGATTTTTTACGTTTTTTTTTAATGTGATTTTTATGTTTGATCCTTTTCAGATGGACATACAAAGACACTGAAGATGTTTTCAACGAAATATACACCCCATTGCTAACTAAAAGAGGCCGACCAGTACCAAAGTATAACGAAGTGAGATACAATGGAGCACTTACACTGGGTAACTCACACGCAATTTTGGGTCAAGCCACCAGATTACCACAGAACTATAAACCAATCGGAGGCTTTCATATTGAAGAAAATGTTAAGCCATTACCTGAGGTTAGAATGTTGTGCATCTTACAGTTTCGTATTATATCTATTTATGTTTGTTTGTTTTTATTTCATTTAGTTTCTTTATTACAGAAGAACACATAGGCTACTTGCTTTTGTTTTTTTAATTACACGCGGATGAGTCGCGGGCCAAAGCTAGTATAATTTGTTACAATAAAAATCTATATGTTGTTCTGTTACTTAATTTATTTTATTTTATATGTTACAGAAGTTAAAACAGATCATGGATGATGCAAAACACGGCGTTATTTACTTTAGTATGGGATCTAATTTAAGAAGCACGGACTGGCCTCTGGAGATTAAGAAAAAGTTGCTAAAAGTATTTGGTGAATTGAAACAAACTGTTATATGGAAGTTTGAAGAAACTTTGTCTGACTTACCAAGTAACGTTTATATAGTAAAATGGGCACCTCAACAAAGTATTTTAGGTAATTACAAAGACATTGAAATCTATACTAATATTATAAAGAGGAAAGATTTATATTTTTGTATGTATTGAAGTAATTCAAAAACAAAAAAATACTGGGCTGGTTTTAAAAATCGTCATCATCATCAGATGATCCTTATCCTACTCCTGTAGAGTCGGCGCAACAGGTTTTTGTCCTCCACATAACTCTATCATACGTCATCTCAGTTATCACTCCCTTTTTGATCATGTCACCTTTTACACGATCCATCCATCTCTTTCTAGGTCTACCTCTACCGATGTACCCTTCCACACTCATAACTAACGTCCTCCTTGTAACATGCGATTTATCCCAGGCTGATTTTAAAAATGTTTTCACCATTACAAACCTATTTACTGAGTATTATACAGTTTTTATTATTTCATATGGACGAAGTCGCGAGCAACAGCATAGTAATACAAAGGAGGCATAGTGAACAAATTTTTTCACCAGTACTTTTTCTTTCTTTCTTGGTATCGGTTGTCAAGTTAACTGCCACCTCGTGTCCTTGTATTGATATGTAATAAAACATTTTACAGAAATATTATATGCCTCTAATATTATGTCACACCTAATTTAAAATATAGACATGTGGGTTTGAAGATCTATTAACAGATAGTGTTAGAGGCGATCTGTGAAAAATATTTCAAGTGAAGTGTTAACTGTGCCTCCTCTATATGTTTGAATCTCTTTGGTGAATATTAATCTGTTGCTTTTGCTCGAGACATCGTTTGCACGGAATTTCAAAAAATTCAAATAATATTTATATAATGTTACTCGGTGATAATATAGCTTTCGATTGATGAAACAATTTTTGATATTCACAAAGTAGATTTTGGGATTTCCCTTTTATAATACTAAATATAGATTGAAATGAAACTTTAATTTTAATAGATCTTGTTAAAAATGTTATGCTAGCAAATTAGGCAAATGTATGTACAAAACATTATTTAGTTTAGTTTATTAAGTAAGTACTTTTAGGACCAACTTATAAAAATAATGAAATGACTGAAGAAAGTAGGTGCTAAATTAACCTTGTTTTTTTTTAATTTTCAGCACATCCAAATTGTGTCTTGTTTATAACACATTGTGGTTTATTATCAACAACTGAGGCGATATACTTTGGCGTCCCTACAGTCGGAATCCCAGTTTTTGTTGACCAATTTGTAAATGCAGAAAGAGCGGTCAGAAAAGGATTCGGCAAGAAAGTGAGCCTGTCCTATTCATTGGTCGATGACTTAAAAGTTGCACTTAAGGATGTATTAAGTAATTCCAGGTAAGTTAGAAATTTAACGTAAGACTTTAGTATTGTAATGTAATGTACCTTAAATCATTTAAGTTTTACAGTGGTAATGCCCACTTTAACATCTTAGAACTGCAGGGCCGGCACGCCGGTGTAATACCACGACCATACAGAAGACAGGCGTGAAATGGAAGCAATTCCGTGTTTCGTCTGATGAGTGTGGTGACGGAGGCCTAATTTAAGTCCCTTTCTCTTTGCCATCCTTTTCTTATAAGGAGAGGATAAGAAGAGGAAGTGGATTTGACGGTGGAGGAGATGCATATGAAGAGGAAATATCCTATTTATGTGCGTTCTCTCCTCCGTCGGGAAAGGGTAGGCAATGCATCTGCAATTGCGGATGTCTATGGGCAGCGGTCGTTTCTCTATTTTGGCGAATTCAGGTGGCCGCTTACTCGTTTGCCACCGTATGTTATAAAAAAAGAAATATATAGAGTAGGCATAGTGTACAAAATTTTTACCGGTACTTTCTCTAAAAGGTTACAATATAAATTGTCAATTTTAGTGCCACCTCGTGTGTTTGTATTGTAATAAAACGTTTAACAAAATTGTAATAAGCTCCATCTTTTGTTAAAAAATATAAACATTTAAATATTATTTGATGACTAATATTGTCAATTAATTGAAATAAATCATATTGACATGGTTTTGAAGTTTGATTATGTGGAAAATATTCCAACTATGCCTACACTGTACATTTTTTTGGATACTCTTTGAGTGTATCATGTTGAAAAAATTAAATCTCTGTAACACAAAAAGAATATTTTGTAATTGTAATGTTGATACAATTCTTATATAAGCTTCCGCCCGCGACTTCGTTCACGTGGTATGGTATGAACAACACTGAGTAGCCTATGTGATCTTTCAGACTATCCTCTACGTCTATCCCAAATTTTATCGAAATCCGTTCAGCCGTTTAGGCTACAAACTATAACAAACATCCATCCATCTAAACTTTCACATTCATAATATTAGTAATCTTATATTTATATACATAAACATATACGTAAGTGTTTACGAAAATTACTTAATTGAAGTCTATTGGATCTTAAGATAATTTTTTTTATTTGAGAATTTTTATGAGGAAATTTTATTTATAATGTAAATTTTTGTGGCGTTTCAGATATCGTGACAAAGCAAAGGAATTGTCCGCTATCTACCACGACAGAATATTAAAACCTCACGAAGAGATCGTTCATTGGGTAGAACATGTGATTCGCAGTAATGGTGCGACTTATTTGCGTTCCCCAGCACTTATGTTGCCCTGGTACCAGAAATTATACCTTGACCTTCTAGCAATCATCTTTTCCATAACAATTACAGCTGCGGTTATCATGAAGTGTTTAGTGACAATGATTCAGCGAAAATTTAGTAAGACAAAAACTGACTAGCAATATTTCCAACTAAGAGCAGGCGCACACCTTTGACTAAACGATCGCACGACTGATGTGCGATTGTCGATTGTTTCGCAGCCAATTCAACTGTGTGCGCACCTCGATATAGGCTCATGGGAATCAAAGCGAGACTAAACGGTTTTGCGATAGTTTAGTAAAATGTGTGCGTCTAAGTATCGTTTTAGTTACAAAATATATTTTTTTGGGCAATTTATGGTGATTGATGGTTGAATGTTGTGTCATCCAATTATTTAAAAAAAACCAGTGATACATTTGTAGTGAAAAAGTTTCCGGATAAATAAAACCTGTCGATTACGAATTAACGAATAACACAAATTAAACATTCACAAATAACTGAATTTATGTTTTATTTTTCATTTATTAACATAGAAAAAAATTATTGACTCGATTTTAAATTCCTGCGAATATTTAATAGCAAACATTTCTGGTAATAACCACTCTTATTAACACAAAAGTCTACCTTTAAGCAGTACGAAAATCTATAGTACAACCTTTATTTAGCAAAATTAATACGCAATGTAGTTTCACACCAGGGCTGAACAATCAGCAAAAATAAATAAATTATGCTTATTGTTGTTTCAGTACTGCTCTGTTTACTGCTTTACCTCATTACTGTCCTCGTGTGAAAGTATTATAAACATAGCCTGCAGATACTGTTAATATGTACTTCTTGCATTAAGTACTTTACAATGTAAGTAAGTGAACGTGTATCGTGTAAGTCATTGTTCGAGACTTTGTTCACTGTTAAGATTAAAAACGTTGCTATTTTATTTTCTTGTATATAAGTGATTAACAATGCGGGTTATTCTGATATCAATCTTTATTTTATGTATTTCGAGTTACAGTGATACGTATAAACTGTTAGTCGTGTTCCCTATTCCTGGAAAAAGTCATTCTATTCTAGGTAATGCGTTTGTTAGACATTTGTTGAATGCAGGACATGAGGTAAGTCGGAGCTATTGATAAAATTACTATATCTATACCAACATTACAAAGAAAATAAAAAAGTAAAGTAAGATTTGCATTTTTATATATATTGAGATAACTCAGAAACTATTGGACCGATTTTAAAAATACTTTCATCATTAAAAAGCTACGTTATCAGTGAGTAACATGAGGTAATTTTTTTATTGTTTTTTTAAATTCTCGCAGACAAAATCGCGTGCAATAGTTAGTTAATCATAATTATTAATTGGAAATTGTTACTTGTTTATGAATTCCCCTTTTATTGACAATTAACATTGTTTAGGAAAGAACATATAATAATTGTTCTTGTACAATACAATGTTATACTATTATGTTTTATTACAAGATTAGTAAAATTATTGCAAATACTTTATTTGACAAATGCAAGTAGAAATTTTGTCAAAAAACTATAAAGGTCATATTTAATGTTGGATGGATGTTTGTTAGAGTTTGTAGCATAAAAGGCTGAACCGATTCCGATTTTTCCGATTCCGAAATTTAGTACAGATGTAGAGGATAGTCCGGAGAAACATATAGGCTACTCACTTTTTTCCAAGTGAACGGAGTCGCAGGCGAAAGCTAGTAACATAATAAAGTTAGGAATTTTCAGATATACCTTAACTAGGTAGTAGGTAGTAGCAAGGACGACTATTACATATGTACAAAACGTACATAATCTTGTGAAGAATATGTTTACTGTTTGAATGATTACTAAGGAATACAATGTAAATGTGTTTATTCAGGTCAGATAAATAGCTGATATCAATATGCGAGACTTTGCATCAGGACTTTAACCTGATAATTTTTTAATTTGATGTGAATAGCAATTTCTATAGAAATTAAAACTTAGAATACTTCATATTCGGTCTTTGTTTTAAACACAATATTTCCTTCCTGCTTGTCTTGTAAATATAAAAATCAAGATCTCGAATCGAATCGAATGCGACAGTCTGCGATGTCGAATCTCGATGAAACTTCGCATAGATGATACTGGAAAAACACATAGGATACTTCCTGTTGTTTTAATTCCATGCGGACGGAGTCGGTGACAAAAGCTAGTAACATATACATTTTCTTTTATTTCAGGTTACGTATATAACGCCGATTCCAATGAAAGATGTCAATTCAAAATTGCGGCAAATTAACGTCGAATCAAATCGAAACTATTTTGCAGCTGGTAATTGTTACATTTATCTAAATCTAAAGCGCACGCACACCTTTGACTAAACTAAAACTAAAAAATAACTAATGAACGTATTGCAAAAAGCTTCGGGTTAACGGAAGACAAAGTACTAGTGTATAAAATAAACCACTTCGAGTTTTTACTTTCGTTGTAGTTTTGCAGATATATGGTAATTTTTACAGAATTAGGCACATTTTCAAAAAATAAATCTATCGAGAAAAGTTTGTCCAATCGTGATTCTGTTCCACGAGACTTTAGTTAAAGGACTGAAGTTACACATACTAAAATATCACCAATCAAATCTTTGTAGAAATCCTTTTCTATGCTTCCAAAGATGCGCAATTTGCGAAAACAGCGCCTTAATTGCTATAAGCTAATGTGCGTTTAGTTGTGCAACTAATCAGTTGAATTGACTACGAAACAAAAGACAATCTCATAACAGTTGTAATATATTTTAGTAAAAGGTGTACGCCCGCTCGAAACAATCTAAAAAAAATATAAAACTGTCCAAATGACAATGCCTACGACACTCCAGGCAAAAATTTGAATCAAATGGTGGCAAACAAGGGCATAAGTTGCCTTTAAGTTATGGTGGGGAAGGGGAGGCACAAAAAGATATTATTTAGTTAATCTAATCCGCGTCCTCTGCCACCTTATAAGAAAAGTATCCTTACAGGAAAAGGGTGGTAAGTAAAAGGGTCTAAAATTAGGCTTCCAGAACGGCCACCTATCAGACGAAACGCGGATTTACTTTAACTGATGTCCATAATGATACACGTCAATATCTGTTCATTTGTTGAAGCCCTAAGTTAGTCATAGTGTAACTTATATCGAAACCCGAAATAAAAACCTTTAGCGGTATTTGAGGGCGTAGTTTCACCGGGCGGTGAAATAAACCACTATCTTACTAATATTATAAATGCGAAAGTTTAGATGGATGGATGGATGGATGGATAGATGGATGGATAGATGGATGGATAGATGGATGGATGTTCGTTAGCGTTTGTAGCCTAAACGGCTGAACGGATCTCTATGAAATTTGGCACAGGTTTAGGGCATAGTCTGGAAGAACACATAGGCTACTTTTTATCCCCGGAATAGTTACGGTTCCCGTGGGATTCATTAATTTAGTTTTTTAATGTTTATTCGATCATTCTGCAACGGTTCAACATATGTTATTAAAATTTGGCACATATATAAAACAAAGTCTGGAGTACACATGGGATAAGCTTCATCCCCGAGAAATGTCCGGTTCCCGAGGGATACGTAATTTATATAGTTTGTATGTTTTCTAATACCACGCGGACGAAGTCGCGGGCAACAGCTCGTATTATAATAAAACAGTTTATCGTTTCACGTACACGGATACAAAATGGAGAGAGAGCAAACGAGAGAGGGGTCAGCACGGTGTAGCAGCGGGCGACTGGTCGGTCGGCCGGCGCAGCTCGGTGCGTGATTTGGATGTTGTGCGTCCGCGCCGTGGGAAGCGCTCTGCAGCGCGTTAGAAATATGAATAGAATATGAATTTGAATGTGGAGTGTTCATGTCCGTTTTGTTTGTGTTAAAAAAAAATATTTTTGTATGTGCATTTTGTGTGATGTGTTATGAGTTATGAATGTGTGAATGCGTGTAAGTAATACTATAAATAAATGACAAATAAATAAATGTAGTGTAGTATATAAATAGATAGATAGTTAAATGAATAGATAAGTACACTACAAACGTAAGATAGGCGCGAAAAACATTGACGTGATAACGATAGTTCTATCGTGACATTGAAAAATAGCATTCGATATCCGTTGCTCATTAAACTTTTATGTTTTCACACCTGCCAAGGATTTAATTAGTAAAGCCAAAACCAATTAGATATCAATTGCTTGTAAAATTGATGGTGATAAATCTACATCAGATAATTGCGCTATTTTTTTTATAATACGTTTTCTATACAAACGGAAGCACAGGCTTCCAATATCGTAACAATTATGATAATAACTAGTTATACAAGCAGCTGGAAAAAATTAATCCAACATGAAGTCAAGGTTGTTAATACTAGAAGTTTTTTTTTTTACAGAAGAAGTACTCGACATTCAAAAGCTGATGAGAAAGGAAGTTGATATGAAGGACATGCCAACGGTCTTCACAATGATGTTTAATATTGCTAACGCTACAATACATCATGAAAATGTGCAAAAGGTGATTCATAACCCCGCAGAAAAATTCGATGCAGTAATCGCCGAATGGATGTATAGTGAATTATATTCAGGGTATGTCTATGTTAAGATATCTTTCTTCCTCGCTAGTATCTCATATGGTAGTGAGGTCAGCTCTCTTTGTTACCTCCACTTCGCTCTATCCTCGACATGAAACTTGGCACTCGTAGAAATAAGATTGTTAAAATCCAACTGTACCCTAAAAACATAGACACTGTTTACTTAAACATGTGTTTTAACTCTTTGTGGATACATACATTGATTTCCAAGTGTGTTCTTTTTTTACTTTTTGACTGCGATTCGGAAACTTGCATAATAATGTATATAAATATCCCATGCTAAATTTATTTCTGACCAGCTCTGATGTAAAAATTCTTTTAGTCTTTATAAGTACTCGTATATTTTAAATGTACAATTAACAGTACAATTTTATTAAACATTTATGGAATCAGGAAATTTTCCTTTTTTTATTATTTATTTCTGAAGACAATAAATATAAAAAACAATTACAATAACCTCAATAATTCACGAAGCTTCCTGTTTACAAGAATAAATAATTATTGTCAATGAAGAGAAATACATAGTAGATAAGGAACGGTGAACGTCCAATTAATGATCTTACGATCAAAAGTTCAGTGGTAATGGCGTTGAATAAAAAAAAGTTGTAATTTTTTTTAATATTAGTAGATCTTTGTTAATTTACTAATATTTCCTTTGACCATGCCAACTAAGCTCTAGGCTTGTGCTAGGATATGGTTCACGACATTAGTCGAATGGTGGGATTCGAACCCTCGACCGTGAAATCGGTAGTCCGTACCCTAAACCATTAGGCTATTGGCGCTTGCTTGTTTGTTTTTGATTTGATTCGAATTGAATTGTTGAAAAATAATCTTGATAATACGATGTCTCGCCATTTAAACGGTCGGACCGATTATGCGTGATTTTTTATTTAAAATTATTAACCATGCCATTATGTAATTACAGGTTTTCCGCTGTGTTTAACTGTCCACTGATATTCTTTTTATCTGTGAGTCCTCACAATATGGCGTTGTCGCTGATAGATCAAATACCGAATCCAGCGTACACCGCCGATCATGTCAAGTCGAACTCAATACCGCCATTTACCTTCTGGACGCGTGTACAAGAGTTACTCACACTTTTTGATTGGAAGATCTACAGATGGTAAGTTTAACAGAAGAACAATGTCACTATCATGCTAAGCGATCATCCGACGGTATCCAACTGTAAGAAAACAAAAAGAAATCATAACTTTTTTCCAGGTGGGTAAACGATCGGAATATTAAATCTTACGACGAAGCATTTAAATCAGCTGTAACGAAAAGAGGTCGTACTCTACCTCCTCTAGATGAAATAAAATACAACGCGTCTCTCATATTCGGAAACTCACACATTTCTACAGCTGATGGTGTTCCTCTTCCGCGTAACCTCGTGGAAATAGGCGGATATCATATTAGTAGTAATGTAGAAGCTTTACCTAAGGTAAGTGTATAAAATTGAAATGCTTTCCAATCAGAAATAATCAAAGAATGGACAAACAGAAAACATTCAAGCTAAATTTGAGCAGGATGGAACTAATAAAATGTTACTAGCTTTCGCCTGCGAATCCGTCCGCGTGGAATTAATAAAACAAAGGTAGGTTCTGACTATCCTTTACATCTATGTCAATTTTTTTCGGGATCCGTTCAACAGTTTAGGCTACAAACTCTTACAAAAATCTATCCATCTAAGCTTTCGCATTTATAACATTAAGTAAGATTTCGATTTTTTTAAAACGCAACAATTTCTGCTCCAGGATCTAAAAAAGATATTGGATGAAGCTAAGCATGGATTTATATTCTTTAGCATGGGCTCTATGCTTCAAAGTAGTAAAATGCCGGAGGAAATAAAAACAGGGTTGATAAAGATATTTAGTCAATTGAAACAGACAGTGATTTGGAAATTCGAAGTATCGCTACCAGACAAGCCAAAGAATATTTTTATAATAGACTGGGCTCCACAGCAGAGTATTTTGGGTAAATCAATACATTATAGTGCTTTTTTATACCATAAATAATTAGATGGGTATGGTTTTCTTTTGTGTTTCTGCTTTGTTGTAGTTTATTTTTCTTAACCAGCTCATCCGAACTGCGTTCTCTTCATCACGCATGGCGGTCTTCTATCTACGACTGAGGCCTTGCACTACAAAGTTCCTATCATCGGCATACCGATGTTTGCTGATCAGTTCATCAACATTAACAGAGCGGTCGCTAAAGGAATCGCTAAGAGAGTAGATTTAAATTATAACACACCTACAAACTTAAAACTTGCTATTGAAGAAATCCTTGAAAACTCGAGGTAAGCTGATAAGTTAGTGGAGTTGGGTTGTGTTCGTTTTTACAAGCAATTTCACTGTTTTTATCTATGACGAACAATGGTAACTTAGGCAAGATTATTGGAGTTGTTAATAAATAAATAAATGATAAGAACTTAAATAACTTCGCTTGTACTTTTAGTGGGTAACATTTACCTACTTTTTTTAATAACATAAGGTGGCCAACGAGCAAGCGGCCACCTGAATCCACCGAAGTGGAAAGCGACCGCTGCCCGCAATTGCAGACGCCTTACCTACCCTTAATTGACGGAGGATGAGATGTACATAAAGAGGACATTTTTCCTTCCTATGCGTCTTCTCCATCGTTAAATCCACTATTCCTTCCCATTCTTTCCTATTAAAAAAAAGGTGGAAAGAGAAAGGGACTAAAATTAAGCCTCCGGCACCACACTCATGAGACGAAACGCGGAATTGCTTCCACTTCACGTCTGTTTTCTGTGTGGTCGTGGTATCGCACCGGGCGAGCCAATCCATTCTTGCGAAGATGTAAAAGCAGAATCTACCGTCATTAAAATAAAAGAAGGATTTATTTATTTTTATAACGTATTTCTAATTTCAGTTATCGTGATCGAGTTAATGAACTCAGCTTTGTATACCACGACCGGGTGATATCACCGGGAGCAGAAATCACACGTTGGGTGGATCATGTTATAAAAACGAAAGGCGCACCACATCTTCGTTCTCCAGCACTTCTGGTTCCCTGGTACCAAAAGTTGTACCTCGATCTTGTTTTCTTAATAATAATCGTGGTCTCCGTATTTTATATTAGTATCAAAAGATTAATAATGAAGAACAGACGTGATGTTACTTTGTCTAAAAAGCGAAGTTGATTTGTAAGTTATTTTTACGTTATATATAGTATAGATTTATAATTCTTTAAAATTTTGTTTTATTTTTAAACTTCATAATTGTTAACGGTATTTGCATCCATCCCTATAATTACTGTTACTCAAATAACCCTTACGTACTCCTCAGTAATCTCTTATTACTTTTACCGAACTTAACATTATAATAGCTGTTTATTTTTTTGTTATTTATCGAGTACTGTGAATGTGTAAAGATATGAAAGTAAATAAAGTATGCAATGTGTAAGGACAGTCAGTATCACCGTGTCTATATATGTTATAAAATTAAATTAACCAATCATGATACTAATATTATAAATGCAAAAGTTTAGATGGATGGATTTTTTTTTATAATATAAGGTGGCAAACGAGCAAGCGGTCACCTGAATCTACCGAAATGGAAAGCAACCGCTGCCCATAAACATCTTCAATCTGGTACAATTGTAAAGCACAGTCTGGAAGAACACATGGTCTACCACTTTTGTTCTTATTTTATTCCACGCGGACACAGTCTTGGGAGAAAGCTAGTTAAGAAAATAGTGCAAAAAATATGTGTTTAATAAAAAATGAACGTATGTATTTTTGTCCTCTGATCGAAATTAAACCACAAGAGCATTAAATAAATGGTATTTAAGACGGATAGTTATAAAAAATAAGGTTACTGTAAGGAGGTTAGAAAAAGTAACATAACAACAAGAAAACACTACTTTTCATTTATTTTAAAACTAATTCTTTTTCAATTTATTTGATTTATAACTAGAATACTTTCTTCTAATAACATTAATACACTTAACTAATAAATACATTAACGGTATCAGCACAATTAGGAAATCCAGATATAATTTTTGATACAAAGGAACGCCGAGTGCTGGCGAACGGAGATGCGTAGCACCGCGAGTACGGACCACGTATTCCACCCAATGGACTAATTCTTCACCCGGAGGAAGAATCCGATCATGGAATATCTGTGATACCTCTTTAGCTCTTTGCTTGTAACTGAAAATAATAATAAAAACAATCAACAATCATTCTGAACTACAATAGTTTATATAATATGATTCTTCAGCTAGTAGTTATCTTTAACAAACTTAGGCACATAATAAGATCTAACATTTAGGAACGATATTTAACGCCTATAAGAACTAAACAGCAATCACTCGTAGTTACAAATGATTGCTATTTAGTTTTTAGAGGCTAGAATATAATGTCAACAGCAAATCTTTTTTTATTTAAAACAAAACGTTGGCTTTTAATACGAGTAGTAAAAAAATAACCTTAATTGACATTAAAAGTTCTTAAAAATATGTTTTTAAATACTTACTATGGGTTTTGTAGTACTTTTTCAATAGCGATTTTAACTTTAGGAGCCATGTCTTCAGCGAGCTTGACTAGAATTCCAAAACCTTTGATTTCGACAGATCTCATGTTAACATGTTGGTCAGCCATTACAGGAATACCCACGACTGGTACACCAAAGTGAATAGCTTCAGTTGTCGACAGTTGTCCACCGTGTGTTATGAACATTTTTAAATTGGGATGTGCTGAAAATTTTGATTTGAAGAATATGAAAATCTTGTTTTAAACTTCTAAACTTCGGATTTATGAAATTTTCTTGAAAGAAGTAATACTCGTATTTATCTGTTACTACTAAGTACGGGCGCACACCATTTACTAAACTATCGCACAACTGTATAGCGATTGTCCATTGTTTCCCTGCCAATTCAACTGTTTAGTTGCATGACTAAAATCAAGTAGTGAATGTATCTCCATTTGAGCCTATTGAAATCAAAGCAAGACTAAACAGTTGTGCGATAGTTTAGTCAAAGGTGCGGGCGCGCTCTGATTAGATAGAATTTTAAGAAAAAAACGCTAGAAATCATTAAAGACTTACAAAGAATACTCGCTTGAGGTGCCCATTTCACGAGATGAACATTCGAGGGAACATTTGGCAAATCCTGTTCGAACTTCCATATGATTGTTTGTTTGAGTTGGCCAAACATTTTGATCAAAGAGTCCTTCATTGCGTCTGACATATCAGCACTTTGCAAATTTGATCCCATGCTGAAGTAAATTACGCCGTGTGTTGCACTATCCATTAACTTTTGTAGGTCCTAAAAGTAAAGTAATAAAAAAAATTTAGTAAATTTCACCATTGTGCTATAATGACATTTCGAAATAACTGAAGTTTGAAAAGCTTAAGAAGTCCTATGAAGTGATGTAATGTCAAGTCACAAATTTATATACTATAGATTACTTCATCTAATTTAAAATCTTACTAATATTATAAATGCAAAAGTTTAAATGAATGGACGTTTGTTAGAGTTTGTAACCTAAACGGCTGAACGGATCTCGATGAAATTGGTCATAGATGTAGAGGATAGTCTGGAAGGACACATAGGCTATCCCCTTTGGTATTATTTACGGCATGGAGCCGTGGGCGAAAGCTACTTATCTATAATTAAAGAAAGACTTACCTTTGGTAAAGGATCCACTTTTTTGTTTATATGGTAACCAGCAACATATTTAGCATTTTGTGGTAATCTAAATGATGTGCCAATAGATGGATGTGAGTTGAGGAATAACAGTGATGCATTGTAAATAGCTTCATCGTATGATGGTACTACCACGCCTCTCTTTGATGCAATCGGAGGAAATACATTTTTGTATAATAACCTTTCGAATGGAACCACAACTAAGCTGTAAGAACAAACTTGGTTTACATCAGATGTTAAATTTTTAAAGCTTCCAATCTAACAAACCACAAAAATATATGTTAAAACTGGGAATCAGACATGCTAAAGACTGTCGCTCAATGAAGAAACACTACCTTTACTTCTAGTTGATCTAAAATTTTTATCTAAATCTTCTATAGACTCTGATTCAAAATAGTTTTTGTACTTACTTCATTATGAGTGACTTTTTAAGGATCATCCATAATTCCATAGTCCTCTGCCAAAATGTAAGAGGAGATCGGTTAATTGAAAAAATATCAACATTATAAGCAGGATTAGGAATTTCGTCCACTATTTGTAAAATTTGCCAATGAGCTTCTGTCGATCCAAACCAAATTAGTGGACATTCAAAGAGAGGTGCAATCCTGAAAATTGAGAAATCATTAAACTACCTAGAGATTTTCAAAGCATATGATGCATGAGATGCTATAATAGCAAACGCGCATCAATTTTCGCTCAGATAACTAAATGTTCCGCATAAACATCTGCAACATGATTAGGTTGCTGATGCGTTGTTTTAAAAGAACAAAAGGTCGTCATCTCACTTCACTTCCCTGCTTTTATATTATAAAGAGACTCTTCTTACCCAGCAGCAACATCATTGAAGAACCATTCAATAATAACAGCATCGAAATGTTCGTTGGTATCACTCAGTAAATCCACAACAATCTTTTCTTCAAGCACTTGTCGATGAAGGTCGTATGTGAAGTATAAAAATAAAATTGAATCCCCAATATTGCCTTTGCCGACCAAGTTTCTTAAGGCGAATGGATTATCTGAAGCTATAAAACAAGACAATATTAAAATTTATGAAATAATGATTAGCAAAAAGAAAATATTAACCAACAAACTGAAAGAGTCCAGAGTAAAAGTCAACGGGTATAGCTAAATGCCAAATATGTAAAACTAGCTTTCGCCCGCGCCTTCGTCCGCGTGAAATTTAAACAAAAGTGAGTAGCTTATGTGTTCTTACAGACTATCCTCTGTGTTTATGCCAAATTTCATCGAGATCCATTCAACCGTTTAGGCTACAAACTCTAACAAACATCCATCTATCCATCCGCGAAATTCCGAATTTGTATTATTTATACAGAGATATATATAGCTTTAGCTTTTAAATTTCCTAGGCATTTTATTAACTTTCTCTTGCTGCATATGTTTTGATTATTAAACGTGCTCAAATTTTTCGTTTTAATTTTGAGCGTTTAAAACATTGGGTTAAACATTTACAAAGATGTGAATCAGTGTCTGACGTCACAGAATGGTACGGAAGTCCCCTATCACGCGAATAGACAATGTATGAGTTTATTACTCAAGTGTCACTTAATATTATATTTTTAAACTATACACTTTAATTTTATGTTTCTTGTAGTAAAACTGTTGACATTTTTTGTAGGCCTAAATTTTATGACAAAACCAAAAGAAAAAAATCTAGTAAATCGAAAATTTATATTTCAAGATTTATTTTTTGAAGCAACTAAAAAAACAGATAATCTTTTATCGTTGCCTTGTAATAATAAACACTAGTACTCATCGTGTTATTTTTCGCGTACGATATCTGATAATTTTATATCTGATACTTAATTATAGAAATTATAGTTTAAATATCACAACCGATACAGTGATAGACAATTATTTCATACTCGTTTTAACCCGCGAATCCGTCTGCATTGACTTTAAAAGAAAACAAAAGTAAGCGGCCTATGTGTTACTCCACATTATCCTTTACATCTATACCAAATTTCATCGAGATCCGTTCAGTTTTGTACTTACCACTCTTTTTCATTTGGTCACGAAGCCTTTCTCCGAGAACACTGACGTCAATTTCCTTTAATCTTGGCTCTGGCTTACTTCGAGGATACGATGTAACGTGAACCACCTGTAAAGGCATTTTATATTTTTCTATATTACTTTAAATAATTACAGGTTAATTTCTCTTCAAATAAAAAGGAAACCTTGAGATAATACCGTAAAGAAAAAAAGCCATTCGAATAAGAAATTACTTCAGACGGAAAAACTTTGACAACTTGTTTTTGGTCACAAAAATAATAATAATTCGTAATTACCTCATGTCCAGCTTCTAGTAAACGACTAACGACGCCTTGTCCCAAAATACTGTGACTTTTTGACATCATTGGAAAGAACACCAATACTCGTAGTCCATCACTGCTTGCTATTAGTACCAGCAGACTTATAAAAAACGATATTCTATTGACCAACATCTAAAAAGGAAAATAATATTATTAGTATGAGTTCAATGTGTTGTGTACTCAGAGACGATAACTGGGTACTAAAGGTTGATATTATTGTAGATCTTTTATAGTAAATCTACACTAAGAGTGGCCACACACCTTTGAATACACTATCGCACATTTGTTTGTTTTCGCGCTTTGATTCCTATGAGCTTGTATGGAGGTGCGCACATTACTCGATTTTAGTTGTGCAACTAAACAGTTGAATTGGCTGCGAAACAATCGACGATCGCCCAACAGTTGTTAGTTTAGTCAAAAGTCAAAGTCAGGATCAAGCATAATCTGATCAGTTTAGGAACACACAAAGCAAGCAGGCAAACAAAGAATTATATTTGAATTCAAATAGATTACTATGAATGGTGTATTATGATGTCAGTATTGTACTACTCGGAATATTTATCACGCGCACGGATCACTCCGTTTTCCTTGAGCGACATAAATAGTGTCAGAACCACGGATGATTTAAATACTGTGACGTTTCCACAACGACAAGACGATGGGGACATAAACTAGAAAGTGTTAAGATTGAATGTGGCTACAAAGGTAGAGGAAGACCGAAGAAGTATGGATGGATTGTGTGAAAGAGGATATGCTTAAGAAGGTAGTGGATTCAGATATGACGGCTGATAGAAATTTATGGAAGAGCAGCACATACTGTGCCGACCCTCCATTGGGATAAGGGCAAGTAATGAAACTTCTTCCACAACGTTATCCCCGGAGACGTTCTATTGACACGGGCAAAGTATATACTTTCACTAGTACAACAGATTTGTCCAGTCCAGTCCAGTCCAGTCCAGCTGATTTCCTAAGCAAAGTTATATATGTGTATTTATAAAAGTACAATGACCTCACACGCGTTACAACTAAAGATACAAAATTTTACCGCACAAACGTGTTTAACAAGTTTGTGGTACTTCCCCCAAGCTTGCTTATTCAAGCAACTAAAGCTTATTTCTGAGTTTTACGTATTGTGTTGGTATATGTATGAACAGACATATCTGAAACCATTCGCTTCCCTTGCACAATCTATGAATACTTTCATCGGTCTTGAACCATCTTTGTAGTCATCATTCTCATAAGTTAAACATATGTATAGTAGCTTTCGCCCGCGACTCCGTCCGGAATTAAAAAAAAAACAAAACGAAAAGTGAGTATGTGTTCTTCCGGGCTATCTACCTCTATGCCAATTTCCTTCGAGATCCGTTCATCAGTTTAGACTACAAATTCTAACAAACATCCATTTAAATTTTCGAAATTATAATATTAGTAAGATTAGAGATTGGTTAATTATTATAATTATCCAACAGACAGACATTAAGTATTTATTTCACAATAGATTTGATATTGTTATCATAGATAACAATGGTTATATTTTCTGTAAACAACATTTGCAGACGTTTATACCGACGTAAGAAGCGAAATGACAAAACAAATTTTTGCTAGGATTACAAGAAATTACTATAGTCAAATACAATTAAAAAAAATCAAAAAGTGTAAAAAGGAACAATTTAATACGAAGCTAAAAATTAGAAAACAGTACTTTATACTTGTAGTAACCGTGACAACAATTACGTAAATGTTAAAGTACCTCCTTGTTGTGGATGTACAAACGCTGATGAGATTTAAATTCTATTAAATTTTCTTAAGATAATTATGGAAGTTTTACTTACATCAAAGTGAAATTTTAAATTGCATTTATAAAACCAACACTAACAGTAATACCAAGCAAAATTTAGTAACTTAATTTCATTAAAAATGTTTCGGTAAATAACATTTTACTAACAATTATAATCTTTTAAATTCTTCAAACAAACTACAAAGGCAACTGTCTTTTAGGTTATCTTAAAAAATGGTAATATAGTGAAGAAACTTACTTTTTTCATTATCCTTAGTCCATTTATCGTAAAATCACTGCACTCATTTGATGCGTGCACTCAGCTTCAATGTTACTCACTGAATGAACGTATAAGCAATCAAGCATAACAGTGTTGAAATTACGGTACTTTTAAATATATTTTCCTGGTATTACATTGTACAAGAGCTCTACTCTATAAATACTAGCTATTGCTCCCAACTTCGCCGTAAAATCATACTAATACTAATATTATAAATGCGAAAGTTTAGATGGATGGATGTTTGTTAGAGTTTGTAGCCTAAACGGCTGAAAGAATTTCGCTAAAACTTGGTATGGATGTAGATGATAGTCTAGAACACATATGCTACTCACTTTTGTTATTTTTTTAATTCCACGCTAACGGAGTCGCGGGCGAAAGCATGTTAAAAATGAATTCTAAAGATATAAGACGTAAAACAACAACCTTTATTTATCACAGATAAATTACCTTTCTAATGGTGAAAGATTTTTAGATATCGGTCCAGTAGTTTTTGAGTTATTCCAATACATACAAAAATGCTAGTTTTTCCTCTTAATAACATTACTATAGAAATATAGATAAAAGAACAAATTAGTATTTTTTACTGAGATGTGAATGATCAATTTAGAGGTTAGATTAATCATGGTACGTAACCTTGATCTTATGTTAAAATAACACATTTGTGACCATAATAAAATGCTTTAATGTCATAAAATGTTGCATCATACCATAAATAAGCCTAACACAAGATTATCTTACGGCTTATAACACTTTTTGTCTTGAAAAATATATCCTTATAACTTGTAATATACAATTCATGGCATCTTTAAAATTATCTGCTAAGTTTGTTTCAATTTTACGCTGTAAGATTGTAAGATGTAGGTAACTTGAATTATTGAGTATTCTCATTCTTGTAAACATAAATATATCTAATATTCCATTACTATTGACTAAAGACTCACACATTAGCTGAGATCCAAATAATAGTTATTTCTAACTCTGAGCGAAGTTCAAGGACTTTAAATCATTACGCAACGTTTGCGTTTGTATTTAGAACCAGTAGGTAAAATAAACTTTATTAGTCATGTAGGTTATCGGCGTCAATGTTATAGATAATGTCAAGTGGAGAAGGTACTTTATACAAGGGATATGCTATCGCAGACCGTAGATGATATGAGGCGTGGAAGACCAACACACTAATTTTGAAGCGCCACATTTTAACAGATTTAATTTATTAATTGTTGTACAGCGACATCTATGTAGAAAAACACAAATTTCAGGTTGTTTCTTAAAACAGAGAACTAAAGATAGATGGCGCTTTTTATTATTTTCATTCTAAACTCCGTTGTTATAATAAAGATGGCCGTTATAATGTTCTAGGGTTAAAGGTCGATTTCCACTGCGAAACAGTTGTTAAATTACGTTCATTTTAATAACATTTTTTTTCTATTGGTTTTACAGCTTATGATTTTAATTTAATAAAAAGTAGTATCATAACTCATCTATATCTGTACTAAGATTATAAAGAGGAAAAAATTGTGTTTTTTATGTATTGAAATAACTAAAAACTACTTTTCCGATTTAAAAAATTCTTTCACCATTAAATAGCTTCGTTTTTAGAGAGCAACATAGGAAGTGTTTTTTATAATTTCATGCGAACGAAGTCGCGAGAAACAGCTAGTTCATAATAATTTGGTGTGATCGTTAAAGTGAATTCAAATGCTTCGGATTGTAATATTTTAATCAAAAAGGCAACAGGTGCGGGTGGAATAAAGAATCCGCCAGTTATTGCCCTGTTATCTCGTTTACGCTTTGCTACATTCAGAACAAGAAATTGCTTTCTGCTTGCGAATACATTTCCTGCGACTTTATGGCATTCGTCGACGTTTCCTCGCTGTTCAAGTGAAATGATTTTTTGTTTATTAGAAAAGTTGTAAACGCGAGTGAAATGATTTTGTATGTACCTACAATAAAGTACAAATACGTTTTTTCTTTTATAATACAAGGTGGCAAACGAGCAAGCGGCCACCTGAATCCACCGAAATGGAAAGAACCCGCTGCCCATAAACATCCGCAATTGCAGATGCGGTGCTTCCCCTTAATCGACGGAGGAGGAGACGCACATAAAAAGGACCATCCCCTTTCTATGCATCTCCTCCACCGTCAAATCCACTTTACCTTCCCATCCTTTCCTCATAAGAAAAATTTTAAATAGTTAATATTGAAATCACAGACAGCACTAGGTATTGGTAAGTTTGCATTTAAAATCAGACCAGACTCTAAATGAATGAAGCAATGAGAATCAATAACCATTTCCCAAACAACGGTTATTTGAATTTGTTATTCTGATTGAAAAACGAAGTACAGAATGAAAAAGTTTGTAACAAAGTAGTTCTCTGACGTGCAATGGAACTGCTATCTAAATTTCAAGCTGCAGTTTAAGTTTTTATATGAATAAAGTTTAATAGACAATCTGTTTGAGCGAAATTGAAGATCTGTTTTTTTTTTATGCTTTTTTATAGTTTTTTTTTATAATAAAGGGGGGCAAACGAGCGGCGAGAACACCGAGGTGGTCAACGACGCTATTCGACATCCGCAATATCAGAGGAACTACAGCCGTTGCCGGCATTTGAGGAAATGATAGGCTCGCTTGAAGGACCCTGAGTTGCATAATATATAAAAGTTATCTCTTGGCATTATAAAATAACATTAAAAGCCCATCACACCACTGACTGATAGAGGCTCAGATAGCTTAAAAATGACGCCACTATCAGATAAGAGAATAAAATCCGATATTTCCATCACATATTTTACACGTTTGATTGTAATCAGACAATTTAAAATTTGGTGGAACAGGCCCTAAATGTCACTAAAATAAGGAATTGTAAAATTTAAATTAATGGATAACTAAAATGTTGTTAACAATCATTATTGTAATTTGTAATAAATTATACGTCGATTGCATAAAAAGAAATAAAAAGACTTCATAGCTGTTGTGAACGTTCGATATTGGATACAATAAAATCAGTGCTGGATTTCATTTGAATATTTCAATATGCATTAGAAAGGGTAACAGTGTTATTCAAATTCGTAACTTAGTCTAAGCATATAACTAAAGTTATGTATTGCTTAACTTATTTTAAAATCGGGGGTTTATGTTTCATTCTGTAAATAATATCATGAAGATAATAATTATACCTGGTTATATAGTCCAGATTATAAGAAGACAGATTTAGTTACAGAATTTGGTATGATTTGAAATTCTTTCTAATATTATAAATGCGAAAGTTCAGATGGATGCATAGATGGATGTTTGTTAGAGTTGGTAGCATATATGGCTGAACGGATCTTGAAGAAATTTTACATAGATGTAGAGCATAGTCTGGAAGAACACATTGGCTACTTGCTTTTGTTTTTTTTTAATTCCACGTGGATGAAGTTACTGCCGAAAGCTTCTAACATATAAATCTAATGTTTTTATTAAAATATAATTTTTTTGCATATGTTAACAATTAGAATATAGAATACATTTAGAACATAGTGTTCAATAATATCCTAGTAATGTAATCTAGGTTAATTGCTGACCTGACTGGACAAGGGCCAAAATTAGGCGATCCATTAACAAAGGAATGTTAAGCCCCCCTTTATGTGTATAGACATATAAAGGGGGGCTTAAGAATAGTCTGAATAACCGATTATATGGATATTTGTAGAATAATTACTTAAGTTTGAATTTACCGTCAAAGTATGACATGGGTCCCTTCGAGAGTAAACTGAATTAGCACTTACTGAACAGACGTATGATAGAGACAAATTGGTTGCGCGGGCATAAGCTAATACTTCCATAGTTAGGTAAACACTAGCTTTCGTGAGACTCCATCCACGTGGAATTAAAAAAAGAAAAGTGAATAGCCTATGTATTCTCCTAGACTATCCTCTACATCTATGCCAAATTTCATTAAGATCTGTTCAGCCGTTTCGGCTACAAACTCTAACAAACATCCATCCATCAAAACTTTCGCATTTATAATATTAGTATGATTACCAGCAAGGCATGCAAAATTGTTGGAGTGATGCCAGTGAGGCGTGCATGATCTGTAAATTTATTAATATTGTTTTTGCATAATTTAAAATGTTACAAATCTTTTTTTAAATATACCTGGTAAGTATCTATTAAAAGAGAAACTTTTAGTAAAAACTAAAAGTCGCTGAAGTGAACCTGAGTCGTAAATTTATCGTTTTTGCACTTTTCACAGAATAAATCGTATGTCGCCCACACTATCCGCTGGCCTGAATTTTAAAATTGAGGTGAGCAACTTTGCTCTGCAAAAACATTAAAAAAGTTGTCATACTGTTACCGTATTTGGAGATTGATGTAGTCAGAGAATTAAATTAGCTTCCCACTTAAGATGATGAGCGATATTCGACTGATAAAAATGTCCACCATAAGAGCAGAATTTCAACGGTAGGGTAGGAACAGTGGTAGTGCCCGCTGTAACATATTTGCTCGAATGGACCAGCTCGCCCGGTGTAATACCACGACCAGACAGAAAACAGGCGTGAAGTGGAAGCAATTCTGCATTTCGTCTGATGAGAGGTCCGGAGGCCTAATTTTACTAAACACTAAACACCCTATATTCTTCTATACTTATACTCGTACTAACAATAAACGAATTTTAAAAAGGTACATTCCATGTATAATTGAGTTTGAAAACAAATGGTGTTTGGCACGACGATAATTGAAGTCGAACTGAAATTAGTTTGCGTTCAATTTAACTTGAACATGCTTTTTAAAACACAAAATGATTATTAAATTCTACTAAACTAAACACGTGTGTTCTATTTAAATCTGCATTTAGGCATGCACATCTTTGACTAAACAATCGAACAACTGTTATGCGATTGTCGATTGTTTCGAAGTAAATTCAACTGTTTAATCGCACAACTAAAAATCGAGTAGTGTAAGCACCTACATATACGATCATAGGAAAGCGCGACTAAACGGTCGTGCGATATTTTAGTTGTTGAACTTCGAAAATTTAAGTAAATAAAGAAGAGTTCAAAATTCCTTGTGGTCGACTATTGTTTTT